CCCCCCCCCCCCCCAGTCAGGAGAGTTCACGACACGACAAAAAGAGGTTTGCTCTGTGTTTAGATTCTTGAATTAAACACAGTCTTTCATCAAGATGTTTAATGTATTTAACGCTAGAGACTGTGCAGGGTGGGGCACTCCCTGAGCAGGAGCCGAGTCGGCCGCCGAGCCCGTTCCCAAGGCTTTGCTGCTCCCTTGACGGTGACCATCCGCGCCCCCCCCGCCCTTCTTTCGCCTTCTGGTGGTGGTGGTTTTTCTCCCTTTCCTTCCTTCCCAAGGCGTTGAGCAGAGAGTGTGAGTGCCCTCGTGCTGAGCTTGGCCAGACGTGGTGCTGAAAGGTCCAGTCTTCTGTTTCGGTTCGGACAAGTGCCCTTTGGGACGAGGCATGGCCCCTCGCGGGATGGACGTAAGAGGACAAACAGCTGTGGAGTTGGGCAGAGGCCGGTTGTCTTGTGATGTGAACCTTTAAATAAATGCTTCAATGCACCCTGCACACGTGTGTGTGTGTCCCCCCCTCCCCTGAGCCCTTCCCGTTGCTCTTCTTCTCCTGCCGGGTGGTCTTTGTCCCCCGAGTGGAGGAGGAGCCGGGGCCTGGAGGGGCTGCCTCCCGGGGGGGGGTACCTGCGTCCCCTTCGGCGGCTGCTTTTGGCGTGAGAGACGTGTGAGGTGCGCTTTTGAGGCAGAACCCCCGAGGCCTTTGAGGAAGAAGAGGGTCTTCCTCCCTGCCCCTCAGGCCGGAGATGTCTTGCGATCTGGCTAGTTGGAAAGTGTCTTGCTTGGCTGGGGTTTGGGCAACCCCAAGGTCCGAAAGGGGTAGTCCCAGGAGTTCCCTTCTCCCGTCTGGTTCCGATGGCTTTTCCTTTGGGACTCCCCTGGTGGAAGGAGAAGCGCACTGGCTTCATGTTGCGGTGTGTGTGTGTGGGGGGGGGAGCATGAAGCTGTCAGCCAGTCACGGAGGGCGTCTGGCCACTGGTCTGTATTTTGTGCATAGAACTGGCAGAGAAGGTGGTGTGCCCTCGGGGGCCACTCTTATTTTTCCACTAGCCGGAAAGTGCTGCAGGGAACCGGTCAGCAGGAAGCACAGCAGAGGCCTTGCAGGGGAGGTTAGCTGCTTGCTGCTTTTGAAGAGAGCACGTAGGTTTTGCTCTGTGGCCCATCACTGGGCTCCAGAGAGGGCTTTTGCGAAGGATCGCCTGGTGAAACCTCTGGGACAATTCTCGCCTGCCTCCTTTGTTGATTGAGGGAAGAGAGGCCGTGGTAGAGCAGGCGTGAGCAACAGAGCTGGCTCAGTGGCAGCAGCAGCAGCAGCAGCCTGGGGCTCCTTGACTGTGCGGCCTTTTGCTCTGCCTCCGCCCCAGGTTTCTGCTCTGTAGTACGTGGCCACCCCAGTCGGGAATGTGCCGAAGCTGTACCCACAGCAGCAGCAGCAGCATCGGTTGTCCCCTGCTCCCTTCTGCCAGAGACAGGTCAGCTTGATCCTATGACCTGACCCTGATCCATAAGTCAGGGAGGAATTCTTGGAGATGGGGGAGAAGCTTCAGGGCCTCGTGTGCAGTCGGCCAGCTTCTACCCTTGCATCCCCCACCCCATCCCCCCTGCCACTCCGGAGACATCAGAGTCCTTCTCAGGCCACCTCTGGCAAGGCTCTGTATTTGCTTGGTTTCCCTTCCAGCCACGGCTCTGAGAACTGCCCTCCCCCGAGATAAGGCTGCCCCAAAGGGTGGGTTAAAAGTCATGGGGGAAGGAAATGCCTGCACGGCAGGCGGGCTTGGACGGCAAGAACAGCAGGTGCAGAAGGAAAGGCCGTGCCTGCCCAACAGCTCTTCCGTGTTTTTTAAAGCCCTTCCACCTTTTAGGGGAGGTGCAGGGAAAGGACACGTCTGAGGAGGGCGTCTGATTGTGCACAAGAAGGCTTGCCCTGTTCGCCTTTTGTCAGGGCCGCAGAACGGATGAGGTTTGTCCTTTTGGGAGTCGGGTCCTGGTGGGCAGGAGGTTCTGTCTTGGCCGGAGCAAGGATAGGGAGTCCCATCGGGTGGTCTTGATGCAGCCTGAAATGCGGATACTGTGTCTTTCGGCTACTTTTTGCTTGTACTTTGACCGTTTTCACTGTATCCTCTTCAGTGACTTGTATTTTCAAGCTTGGTGGTGTGAGATGCATTATTATACCTCTGTCCTCCGCTTGTGATAATTTTGGGGTGGGGTTTTCTGGGGAGGGAACATCCGTTCCTAGAGTTTGCGATCTCCACATAACCAGGCTGGTTTCTCCACTCTCGATGTCCTTGCTGGTTTCCTCCTCTTGAGATCCAACCCACCTCCGGAAATGCAGCGAGTCGGCAACTCAAAGATTGAGGATCAACGTTTACGTGAGCCACCCACCGCCTGGTTCTCTCTCTTAACTGCACCCACCTCTGCGTTTACATTTCTGATTTTAAAAAACCAGTTCAGATGCTGTCAACCACTTTGAAACCAGCAGGGAGCCCTAGGAGCTGTTATGGGTGTTTTCTTGTTCACTGCTGAAATCCGCAAAAATTTTTTTTCCTCCTTTCTTTCTTTCTTTCTCTCTCTTTTCCTCTCCCTGCTCCCCCAGTTGATACAACTTACCAGACCAGGTTAACTAATGCATATTTTTCTTTTGTGTTGTCTCCTTCTCCTTTGGTAATTTAGTTTTGGTTTTTCTTCACATCTGTCTACTAATAAAATGTAGAATAAAGTACACCTCTATTACTAGTTCCCTGTTCAGAACCACCACTTGAGATTCATGGGCTTAAAAGCTGTTGATGACCGGGCTCTTCATGTGCCTTGCAGATTTTGCTGTCGTGAGCTTTATTCTTCGTGATCCTCTTCCTCACCTGCGTTATACTAGTGAAGGTACGGAAACAACCAGAAAACGATCTCAGCTGCGTCGAACCAGAGACCAACTCTTCTCTCTTTCATAGCTCCCAACTTATTTCCGGGGCTAGGGAAGAGTATTTCTCTCTCTCTCTTTTGGGTCTGTCGCATGCCTGTTTAGCTGGGTATTGGTTGCATGTGTTTCAGAAATACCAGTTAAAGAGGGATGTTCCCCTGCCTGTGGTTTAAGCCACAAGCTCCCTGCTCCGGAACAGCTTCCTGCTGTTTTCATCGATGCCATCTTCTGGATCCACTTAGCAGCAGGAGGAGCAGTGCACTTGATGGAGTTAATAGCAAAGCGATGGAGCTGCAGGGGGCAGGAGCTCGTGCTGTCAATGTTCTCGGGTGGGGGGGTGCCAAGGGGTGGGGTTGGCTAATGGAAGTAGAACTTCAAATGAGAAAACCAGTAAGGTCCAGCAGAAGATGGCCCAGGTCTGTCTCAAGACACTTGACTTTCCCCTGCAGCCGGCAGGCATGGTGGGATCCCGCTTTGTGCCACGGTGCTTGCCCTGTGCCGAACAGTGGATGCTCGTCCAAGGAGCCTCTGTGGAAATCGCAATAGCCAGGCAGGAATTGGGTTCCCGGAGAAAGCAGTCTTTTAAAATGAATGCCCAATTAGACCTAGAAACAAAGTCTGCACCCTTTCATGGCAGGGGAAGAGGGAAAGTGGCTAGAAGTATGCCAGCACTCCTCCTGTTCACAAGGGGAATGTTTCAGAGCCACCAATATACCCTGATGTTTGAAGGCCATTTGCGTTGGAACGTCTTCTACTCCACTGGGAGAGCCCATGGTCTGGCAGCCCAGTCTGGCTGGACCTGCTTTTGAAAAACAGCAGGCGGTACCTGGTCGGGGTACTTTTTAAAATGCTCTATCTGCTTCTGGTGGTATTTCTATCTCGCTCGAAAAGTCCCTTTTCTGAGGGCTGCCACTCACTATTGAGCGAGCTTTATTCCTGTCTGTTGGGAGGCCTTTTGATGGATCTGCTCCGGGGGTTGGATGTCACAAGTGGGTGAAAAGAATCAGCCTTTGCTGCTGGCGATACTCTCGATACCAATCGAGATTTCTTAAACAGAAAGCAGCAGCATCTCTTTGCATCAGTAATCATTCCTGCTTTCTTGATTTCAGTACCGGGCTATTAAAGCACACCGAGGGAAGGTGTAGTTAATCCAATACTGGTTCAGGACTGGTTGCTGAAACTCCATTATTGCTGGGGAATCTAGTTTTGTCATCGTTTTGGAGAGGAGGTTCTGATTTTTGTCCAAGAGCAACTTGGCTTCCTTCTAGGAAGACAACTGTTGTCCATGAAAGTTTTAATGGGGTGGGGGTTGTTGTTGTTTTAATAACTTGCAAGAACTCTTTAACTGAAGAGTACTACCTAAACATGAAATGTGCGAAAAATGCTGGAAAACTGTGGAGGGGGAAAATGGTAATTGTGTGACACTTTGAAGGCTAAACAGTTTATTGGGGCACATTTTCATGAAGCCAGGGCCCATCCCCGTGAGATGCATTAAATGAGGGGTGGGGGTGGGGTCTGCACAAAGATTTTACTCTAGAGAGTAGAGTGAAATCTAGCTGGAGGAGAAAAGTCTTGGGCAGAGCTGTCAGTCTTGAAATGTTGAAATAGAACTGGCAATGCAGATGAAAATTGATAGAAGCACGGCGTTGGAAGGAGCCTAAAAGGCCATTGGGTCCAACCCCCCTTGGCTCAAGGGCAGGAATCCAAATCAAAGCAGATCTGCCAGGGGATCAAGTTTTTCTTGATGGCCTCCAGTGTTGGAACCGCTCATGGTCTCCTGAAGTCATGGGTTCCATTGTTGTACTGCTCTGATATTTAGGAAGATTTTCCCATGATATTTAGCTGAAATTCAGCTTCCTATAACTCGAGCCCATTATTTAGTGTCCTGCACTCTAGGATGACCAAGAACAGATCCTGCCCCTCCTCTGTAGGACTGCCTTTCAAGGATCTGAAGAGTGCTCTCCTCTCTCCCCTCAGTCTTCTTTTCTCAAGGCTTAAAACATGCCTGGTTCTTTCAGTCTTTCCTCGTAGGGCTTGGTTTTCAGTCCCCTGATCATCCTTGTTTCCCTCTTCTGAATTTGCTCCACCACTGAAGTCCACAAAAGCACTGTGTAAATGTTAACACCCAAAACAAAGCTGCAGGACAGACTCCCAGAAGAAGCCTGTGGTGTTCAGATAAGTTGTTCTGTGACCACTAAATTCAACTCATCGGCCCTGGGCTAGGAAACCGGAAATAAAACTTTGCTACCTTTTGTTTTGAAGATTAGCTATACAGAAGATGGGGATCAGGACACAATCGGAAAGTGCAACCGGAAAGCCTGATACAAGGGTGGAGACGGCATGCACGAATAAGTGGCCAAAGGCTAGAGAATTACAGCTTTCTGAAAAATGTCTGGATTATAAACATTCTGCACATCAGAATGTACTGAGGTCTGAATGTAAGCAGTAAAAGTATGATGTTTTCTGTAATGTACAAAGCAAGCGTAAAATGTGGGAAAGCGCCATACATTTCAAAATGGAGCATGACTTTTGGTGGAGCAACATGTCAAAAAAAAAAGGCTGATGTGTATGTAAAATCTCTGCTGCTGAAAACAGGTTTTTATATCCAAAATAAATGATGCTGATTGCTGTGCTGCGGTTACAAGTTTCTCAGACGAGTTTGCACGGCAGACTGACTCTGCCAAGGCAATTCCAAGAGGGTAAAAGTTGTGTTTAGGGAGTCTCATTGGGACACCTGGGAGACACTCAAGTAGAGGGTCTCTTTACAAAGAGTCTCCACCCTTCCAGCCTCTTTGGAAGTTTTGCAACAGGCAACCAAATATCTAAGAGTTTTCTATTAAGGAAGCCAATAAAGGATGAGCAGCAGAGCCTGTACTGCCAGTTCCTGCCTCCTAAGAAGCTGAGGGGTGACCTTTCTTAGCCAGAAGGTTAAGCACGAGGGTAGGCATGTTCACTGTGGTTGACGGCTATGGAATAATGGTGCTGCTGATGAGGGAGAAGGTTCCCAGAGACACTTAACGGCTTCCCCAGAGTTGCAGCAGAAAGACCAAAACCGCCCCCTCTCCTCCTTACACATAAAACTGACTGGGTGATGGAACTGGGAAGGACCAGGCATACAGACCTATCCTTTTAAAAGAGGAGTTTAAAGAATTGCCCCCCCCTCTGTCTGGATGCCTAGGTTCCCCAGAAGAGGCTGGAATGGTATTGAGCAGCTTCACTGATAGCTCCTCATCCCTTGCCTTTGGGAGCTCAGACAATCCAGGGGTGGGGAAAGATCTCCACTTCAAATCCAGGCCTTCCGCTGCCAGTCAAAAGCATTATGTCTGCAAATGTTTCTAAGAATGCGGAAAACCAAAAGAGAACAGAAGGCCTGAATGCGATGGCTAAGACGACAAGGCTGAGCGTGTTCCTCTCTCTGTTCACCATCATCGGTCACTGCTTGTTCAAGACTCTTGTTTCCATACCTAAATAACAGAAGGAGGATGAATTCTGCAGACCAGGCCAATACCTACCACGTATTTTATGAATGCACATGTAAAAAGGCTTGTCCCGAGTGCGCAAATCTGTCTGGGCTTGCAGCTTTATTGGGTGTCTCAGCTGTCCCTTGTGTTCTTGGGACCGTCCGCTGAGGCCCTTCCAGTCTCTTGTGGCAAAAGCAGTTGCTTCTTCAGCAGCAGTGTGGTTACCTGTGTGGGTGTCTGTAGAGATGGGTAGAGGGTGTTTTCTTACACCCTCCCCACGCGAGCTGGCCGCCTGCTTTTCCAGGCTCTCCGGGTGGAGACACCCACCCCCACCCCGGGTGGGATAGCAGGACGTTCTTGTTTCAGACTTGCCACCTCTTGGCCGGTTGGGGGGAGCCAAAGAGCTAGGCGTGGAGAACACGGGCTACAAGCCCTCTTCTCTCCCCCTTGTGGTCCAAGGACTTCTCTTTCCTGATGGTTTCCAAATCTAAATTATTCTCCCGTTGGGAGACAGACATCCTTGAGCTGGTTGGCATGCCAAACCTCTCTGGATCTTTGGGGGTGACTTGGCAACATGCCTGGAACAATTTACACCCCTCACCGGAGGCTTCCTAATCCCACCCTGATTTCACATTTAAGCAATGCACTAGTGAAATTATCTTCTAAGACTGTTGTATGGAGTACACAGAGTACACTCACACCCTTATTGCAAGGGGTGGGGAAGAGAGGCCAACAGGATCTGCCACTATGTTAGCTTTCCTTTGCCGGAGAGACACAGACGGGCATCTTTCCGAGCCCTTTAGCTCCCAGGCGGCTAGGATTCACCTGCAGTGGGGCAGGGAGGCTCTTGGAAACTAAAACTGCAAACACCGTTGATGCGCTCAGCACTTTTATTAGGGGGAGTCTGGGCTAAAAAGAAATCTCTAAAACGTACACAGGAAGAATCCACGCTTCCCATATACCCACATGCCCCTTCGGTCTTCCCCCCCCCCCCAAAAAGCCAAGGGAGGCAGAACGGGGAGCGGGTGGGGGGGGGAGAGAAGGCATCCTTAATTGTGGCCATCCTGGTTTTGATAGGTGATCTCTCAAGTGAAGCCAGTGCTGAGACACACACACACTACACAAGCCAGCTTTTGGATCCTCTTAGGGAACGGATCCTGATGGGCAGATGATGCACTGCTCAGGATAGCCCCCGTGCAGGGGGAACGGGAGAACCCCATAGCTTTTGTTTGCTTGATTGTGGTTTTTAAATTTTGTAATTAAAAAAAAACTGACTGTGCCCTTCGTAGCAAGAGCATGGGACACCTGCCTGTGGTAGCCCCCAGCTAGCCAGAAGGGGACGTGGCCTCTTGGTGGCTCCGGGGGGGGGGAACTCTAGGAAACGGGGAGGAAGCCAGACATTCAGTTCTTCTCGAAAGCCTTGCCATCCATCCACCTGAACTGTTTCTCTATTGGAAGCCTCCATGTTCCCTCCCCCCCAAAAAAGAATTTTAAAAATGGCACATTTTGTCCTTTGACAGATTCATAGGAAGTGCTCTGAGCTATACAAAAATTCACAGAAAGCTGCCCCGGGCTTGAAAGAGGAGAGTCCTGTCAGAGCCTCCTGGTGAGTAAAGAAATAAACAGTCTTCCAAAAAATTGCAGAAACCACCGTTAGGCTCTATTACATTTACAAATACATACATAAATATATTACATACAACAGCAAATAATAGAGGAAGCGGGGGGAAGGGGTCAGGCTGCCCGCCCTCCATCGTGCCTCCCCCTCCCCTTCCCCCAGATGTTCTTCTGGCAGGGGTGGGGTTAGGGAGTCTGCAAAAGGGCACCACCGGCTACGGGCTGGATTTCTCCCTTCTTCCCTGCCTGCCTCCCCCTTCTTCCTGGTCTGGAGTTAGTTTGTCCAGTAGGGAGATGTTCCGTAGGCGGTTTTCGGAGCCTGGGACTTCTGCTGCATCGTGCTCGGCTGGCTGCGCGGTCCAGATCCACCCTGGAAGGAAACAAAACAGGTGAGGGAGAGGGGCAGCTCTCCAGCCTTATTTTAGGCTCACCCACCACCACCGCCGGACCCCCTCCCCCTGGGCTGAAAGAACTGGTCTTGCTGTTCTCCCCCCATTTGGGAGTTTCTCCCTGCCCTGTTTCCTCGGAGGGCCCTTGAAGCGTCTCCGTCATGCCTGAGGTTTCAGTGCCAGAGAAGCTGCAGGGGAGGGCCAAGCTGGGTCTGCAACGTCTCCCCTCCAGGAACAAGGGGCTGAAACGACACCCTTGCAATAGAGCTTGGGGAAGTGTCTGGTCTCGGTGAATGGAGAGGGCACCTCAAGATCAGCCAGGGGCCCTTTCTGGCGAGGCACCTTTGCATCATATCTACATCATGCTGCACATCCTACAAGGCCAGCAGCCTTGAGGCCTTTTAAGAGACTCTTGAGGGGGCCCGGCCAGCATCCTTCCTGGGAGCAGCACGGAACCGCTCTCTTTCCACTGAACGGCATAATAAAAGAAGCCAAGGGCTTCTTTTCCCAGGGCTCCATTATTTAACCCGGGACCCATGAGCTCATGTGCAGCATGATGTAGATATGATGCAGTGAAACCCTCAGCCCACGGGACCCACGTTTAACCCGGGACCCATGAGCTCATGTGCATGTGCTAGTCTTGCGGTGAAACCCTCAGCCCACGGGACCCACAAGCAGAGTAGGCGCCCTCGGTGGACTGGCCAACTTCAACAGTTAACAGAGACGGAACTCAGGGGGGAAAAGAAGACTGGAAATGCAACTAGACAGGCAAATTCCAATGCCCTTGTTAGGGGAAGGCTCTCCGCCCCAGCGGCAGAGCAAACGCCTTGCCTGCAAAGTATGCCAAATTCATTCCCCAGTTAAGAGCTCGGAACGGTGTCTGCTGGAAGAGGGTAACCAAATGGGTTTCAGCTCTTTTTGTGACCCTGCGTGCTTGCTTTCTCCTGCCGACTGTGGCTCAGGGCCCAGGATGCACACCTAGAGTTTTAACACCTTGTGAAGGACAGAAGAGCAGCGTGCCGTCCTCTATCTCGCAACACCCAGTGGAAGAGAGTGGATGTGCGGAGGGAATACCCGTAGAGATAGAACAGGAAAAGGTTAATCCCACAACAGCCTCGGAGGTGTGTCTAGTGGATGAGGAAGGGGAGGAGTTGGATCTAATATTAGGGGAGGATATAAAAGAGGGGGAAAGCGCGCGGATATTCAATTTGACAACGGTGGGAAGAAAGAGTTGCGGGGTGCAAACCGAGCCCATGCATGATTTAGAGGACTCTACGGGTCTCCTAAAAGACTTTCCGAATCCACAACTAGGAGGAGGTCTGTTACCCGAACCTAGCCTGGGAAACTTGAAAGGGAGGGAGTTAGATCCTCTAGAATGGATGGTTGTCGTTTTCCCACACAATCAGCGTGGGGGATGGAGGGTGATCTGTCCCAGCCCCTCTTTTCTCCAGCAACCACCCGAGGGGGACTGGGCTCGTCACCCATGTGGTGGGACGGTCTGTGCCGTGAGCAGCACCCCCTTGAGACCTATGACCGACAGGGAGCGCTTTGGTCCAGCTCCTCTTTAAGGAGTGATTGGAAGCCCCTTGATGTTAGAGTTAAGACTTATAAAGTTCTGCCAGAATTAAGTTTGTTGGATCCTTTTGATAGCGTTGAATTGAACTGTTCAAAAATTAAAGAAGCTTGTGTTAAAAGATCTGAACCGCCTCCGCTCCTCCTTCCCTCCCAAAACCAAGGCGCACCTCCGGCTGAAGACGGACCTGTTCACACACCTTTACAGCATAACCCTGTACAGGAGGATGATGTGGCCCATCAAGCCACACTAACCAGAATTGTAACCCCAGACACCAGGAAGCATCTGCTTGATATTAAGGTGCCTGGAAGTGAAAGTTACAGCTCAACCATCGACTCCTCTAGATCCCCTTTCCAGCTACTCGCTGCCGTTCCGCACTCCATGAAAGCAAAGCCTCACAAACTGGGATGTTGGTTCATCCCTGAGTCTGGATGTCCAAGTCATGGCAGTGGCCCATGAACTGGCCTCGGGGCACATTACTACCCTGAAATTTAGGTTCCAGAGATGCAGAGAGAGAGAGAGAAATCGTCTTTTACGGGACTGCTGCCAAACATCAAAGTGGGGGAGATTCTACTATTGCCCAAACTAAAGGCATTTCCCCAATATAAGAAGGTAACCTCTATATACAGTCTTTCTCAAGCTGGCAGGCACAATTCCTAGCATGTATGTATGAATGTCAATGCATTTACACCGCCCTTCTAGTTTGCTCCCCCCCCTGCGTTTTGAGGGCACGCAAAAGTGTGTCTGTGTGTGCTTACACAGAGAGAGGTGTGAAACTAACCTCTCACATAAGTCCCCTCCGGCCACAGACGGGGATAACGGGCCTTGCCCCGTTTTTTTTGGCTGCTGCAGGACTCACCTGCCCATCCTGTTGAAGGTGATGATGCAACATCTGGGAATGAGGCTGCTGATGAGCAGGCAGGATATGAAGGAAGGGAGCCGGGGCGTAGCCAGGCGCCCCTCCAGGGTTCAGGGGCCCCGTGGAGCCGAGGGCCGACGGCAAGCTGAACGGAGGTGGCGTGCCGGCATGGAATCCTTGCTTGTCAAACGTCTGGCCGAGAAAGGAGAAGAGAGAGGTGTCTGTGCATGCGCAGAAATATCCCTCCCCGTTTTTTCACATCAGGCCAAAACACCCAGCCAGAGCCTGAATCCAAGAGGGGAAAACCAAGACTTCCAGAGCCACCGTGTCAGGTCAGGGGCCTGTTATAGAGAACAGAACAGAATAGAGAGAGACTGGGAGAGGCTCCGTTTGAGCTTTATCTAGTGCAGTGAGTTTTAAGGCTTTGCTTTCCTTGGTGCAACGGCTTAGTTTTTGCAGTGTTGCTTCCTTGCCTCCCGGAAGCCAAGCAGCAAACTTTTTGAGTTTTTAAAAGGACTTGAACAAGGACGTCGCGTGAATTGTTGGGTTGCAATGGGGCTGAGAGGAAAGTTGGTCACGAGACCACAAAGAGCACCAGCGTCTTTTTTCAGGACTCAAAGGGTGTAACTTCTGGCTCAGCCCCAGATTTCCATTTGGTGTTAAAAGCCCCTGCAGAGACCCAGCGAAGGAGCAGCAAAAGTAGGGACTCAAAAAGCGTCAGGGGCCTGTTATAGAGAACAGAACAGAATACAGAGAGACTGGGAGAGGCTCCGTTTGAGCTTTATCTAGTGCAGTGAGTTTTAAGGCTTTGCTTTCCTTGGTGCAACGGCTTAGTTTTTGCAGTGTTGCTTCCTTGCCTCCCGGAAGCCAAGCAGCAAACTTTTTGAGTTTTTAAAAGGACTTGAACAAGGACGTCGCGTGAATTGTTGGGTTGCAATGGGGCTGAGAGGAAAGTTGGTCACGAGACCACAAAGAGCACCAGCGTCTTTTTTCAGGACTCAAAGGGTGTAACTTCTGGCTCAGCCCCAGATTTCCATTTGGTGTTAAAAGCCCCTGCAGAGATCCAGCAAAGGAGCAGCAAAGTAGGGACTCAAAAAGCCAGCAAGGAGGAAGCCAAAGGCGGCAGAAAAGAATGGGTGCAGGGTGGCCAGCCTCTTACCTGAGTCTTGTTGTAGACCGAGCCACTAATATCAGGCACACCCGTGTTACTTGAGGTCACAGAAACACCTGGAGGAGGAAAAGGGGGGGGGGAGGAAGGAATGGGAGTCTGCTATGAAAACAGCCCAAAGCAAGAAGGCAGGACGCTCTGGGCCAACCCAAACCACACAGACTGGCGATCAGCCTGGTTTAAAACGCCTCCTTCCAATCTCACTTCATCCTGCCCCCAACCTCAAAAGAACCTCAACACCTTCCAGTCCTTGGTGGGCTGTGGGCAGCCTTGGCACAGCTGTCTTGCCCTGCAACACGTGAGCGCGCGAGTGTGTGTTCTCTCTCGGGCAGGGGACGCTCGGTCCGTCCCCACCACTCACGCCTGGAACCTGGCTCTGCGGAAACGCTGCTTCTCTCCCTTAAGGTCAACCAAGGTTCCCTTTAAGGGGGAAGAGAGCGAGAGAAGGGGTGCAGTCTGCCCCCCCCGAAGGCTTCCGTCTGCGGCCCCCTCCCTCGGCCTCTACTCTGTTCTTCCCATGGCCGCTCCGGGGAGGGCTCGCTTGCTCGTTCCTCTCTGCTGTGCCCCCGGCCGTGGGCGCCGCTCCTTCCTACCCTCCACCACAGGGTCCTCCCTGGGGGGGGCAGCCTGTCTGCCAGCGTGGCGGCCCAGGGCCTCTGCCCAATCCCCGGGAGGGGGTCGGTCATCCATTCCCACAGTGCCGCCGGCACTCCCACCATTGAGGGTCCAATCAAGATGCCCGTTACGGTCATAGACCAATGCCGAGGAATGGCTGGCTGTGGGCACCCACACACTGTTGGGAAAAATCCCTGGGGAGTGTCAGAGGGCACAGGGAGAACTTTAAAAAAAGGTTTGGTTCTTTTTAAAGGAGATATAATGACTATTCAGATCACTGCAGAGGGTGACAGCAGGCTAGAAATTAAAAAATGCCTGCTTCTTGGGAGAAAAGTGATGACAAACCTAGACAGCAACTTAAAAAGCAGAGACATCACCTTGCCAACAAAGGTCCGCATAGTCAAAGCTATGATTTTTCCAGTAGCAATGTATGGAAGTGAGAGCTGGACCATAAAGAAGGTGACCCAACTCCGGGGGCAGTGGAAGGCAGGAGGGCCTGGCGGGCTCTGGGCGATGGGGTCACGAAGAGTCAAGAAGAATTGATGCTTTTGAATTGCGGTGCTGGAGGAGACTATTGTGAGTCCCCTGGACTGCAAGGAGAACAAACCTATCCATTTGGAAAGAAATCAACCCTGAGTGCTCACTGGAAGGACAGATCCTGAAGCTGAGGCTCCAATACTTTGGTCCTCTCATTTATTTATTTATTATTTATTTATTCTATTTATATCCCGCCTATCTAGTCGATTAAGACCACTCTAGGTGGCTCTTCTCTCATGAGAAGAGAAGCCTCCCTGGAAAAGAACCTGATGTTGGGAAAGTGTGAAGGCAAGAGGAGAAGGGGACAACAGAGGACGGGATGGCTGGACAGGGTCATCGAAGCAACCAACATGAATTTGACCCAACTCCAGGAGGCAGTGGAAGGCAGGAGGGCCTGGCGTGCTCTGGTCCGTGGGGTCACAAAGAGTCGGACACGACTTAACGACTAAACAACAACAAATGACTGTGTAGTATTGCTATTGACTGTAACCAACCTCCAAATATCCAGAAACTCCAAATTTCAAAATCCTGAAAACAAAGGCTGCAATTCTGAACTCTGAATCCGAGACGTAACTGCTCATCACAGACAGAGAAACTGACTACTGCAGTTTTTCCAAAGCAACCGGGGCCAGGGGCTGGGGGTGGGGGGGGGTGGAGAGAAGCAGCGCAGCAGGCTGCAATTCTGAACTCTGAATCCAAGACGTAACTGCTCATCACAGACAGAGAAACTGACTACTGCAGTTTTTCCAAAGCAACCGGGGCCAGGGGCTGGGGGTGGGGTGGGGTGGAGAAAAGCAGCGCAGTGGCCTCTCCTCTTCTCTGAGGGCCATTACCTTTTCCTGGTCCGCTCCCAGTGGCCTTGTTTTGTGCTTGAGAGGTGCCCGTGTACCCTCCCTTGCTGTAGTCACCGGCGGCCGTCCCCTGCGTGAGGTCCTCGTAGCCTGGGGGCAAAAGGAAAGAAAGGGAAAGAGACTCCCATTGGTGCCTCTTGCACGTGAGGTCAGACAGAGACACGGAGAGCAGGATCGGTCCCCCGCCTCCTCGCTAAGCGTGGCCTCTCGCTGAGTAGCTGCCAGCCAGTGAGTCTGGATTTGGGGTGGGTAGGTGGGGGGCCTGATCTCCTCCACACGGCGCTTGGAAGAAGGTCAGGAGGCAAGGGCGGGGTAAAATCGAATAAATAAATAAAATAAATAAATAAATAGCTGAACCCGCAGTCCGTGCCAGTTCGTTTTTTTGGCTGAGCAAGCATTCCGTGAGTCCCGACCACACGTCCTCTGGCAGGCGTCCCCTCAGGCGGCACAGCCCCAGCTTTCCTGCCTTGCCTCCCCTGGGTGCGTCCACCACGGGAAGCCCCGAATACCTATCTGGCTGAAAAACAATTCAGCACAAACTGCCAGCTGGGTGGTTTGTGCCCATCTCTAATGCAGAGCTACAAAACCCTCTCAAACAAGCAACGTCATGCTAAGAACAACTTTTAGAAGTCTTCCACTCAGTCTTCCCAAGGGAAAAGCTACAACATCTGGAGGCCCCAAGGTTGGGGACCACTGCCCTAGAGGACAGAAATGGGCTTTCTGAGATAATAATTTAAAAATTAAAATCAGGATTTGAGGATACACACCTCTGGTTCCCTCCTCATAAGCAGCCATGCAAAGTATTCATGAAGGCTTTCATGGCCGGCATCAGAGACTGGCGAAACGTCAGGAAGAACAACCTTCAGAACACGGCCAATGAGCCCGAAAAACCCACAACAACCATTAGATCCTAGCCGTGAAAGCCTTCACAACTACTATTTTATATCAAGGGGTGTAGCAACCTCAGCGGCTCCTCTGGATCTATTATAACGAAGAGCAGCATGGCACTGTTGGCACTGTCTTGTTTATTCCCCGTCTGGGTACGAAGGTCGCCAGGAGTACGAGCGGAACCAACCATGTCCACCAAACGGAATAACCTCTGAGGGACAGACGGTTGCAAGCAGTTCCACCTCCTTTTTCAGAGTCAAAAGGGGGAGTTTCAAAGCTACCAGCCCCCCCCCACTCCTAGCACAGAATGGGCCCCCATCCTATCAAAGACGCAACTCAAGACAAGGCTACGCAAGGCAGCGTTGCTTCACCTGGGCCGAGTCACCTCGGAGCTTGCCTCCCTTTTGAGCAAGGTGACCTCCTACGCCATCATCATCATCATCATCATCCCCACATCCCAAGACCTGAGACACAGGGATGGTTTGTCAAGATATATGGGAGAGAAGAAGCCCAAGAGGAGCCAGGACGCCTGCTTCCCCAGCCCCACGAAGCCCAGGAACGAACGAGGGCAGTCACATCGCCCTGGGACGTATTCTGCCCAGGAGGAGGGCTCCCCAAATGCCACCATCCTTTGAACATCCCTTGCATTCACAGGCACCTCCTTAAGACCTGGGGACCTCAAGACCTGCACGCCCAACAGCGCTCAACCGTGGCAGCCTCCGGAGGGGCTGCTTCTCTGACCTGGCCCCACATCACAGCGGCCTCTCGCTGGTTACAACGCTTTTTGCCTGCAAAGGTGGCAAAAGTCTCCCATTCGCTGCATTGCTCCGCCACCGACAAACCTCCCCTTAGGTCCCCTCTAGACACACACAGACACACAGAGGACAGAGGGAGGGAGGACCAACTGTTCTTCTCACCTGCCCCATAGCTGTGCTGGCTGTAGCCGCTCGCCTGCTGGAAGGGTGCCGAGGCCGCGTTCAAGCTGATGCTGTGTTGCTTGGCGGACGCCGGAGGAACCTGAAGGAAGGGGAAAGGAGGCAGAGTCACCTGACAAGCAGCGGCTACAAGCGGAAGCCCCCCAACCCAGGCGACCAAGCAGGAGCGGCTCCTTCTCCCAAGGAGGTGGTGTGTCTCACTGCTGGGAGTGGGGAGAGAGACCCCAGCGGCTCACAGGTGTTGGGTTGGGGGGGAAAAAAAAGACGCACGGCTGAGAGAAGCTGCTCTTTGTCAGGAGGTGTTCCGAGTCACAAGAGCTACTACTCTGCTGCTGCTCAGAGAGAGCAGGGTCCCACCTTCTGGAGATGGCTTGTGAAAAAGAGCAAGCCTCACCCAAGCAGGCTTGGCTCTTCTCAAAGATTAAAAAAAGTCTTGGGTTCACACGTGTTGACAAGTTTCCTCAGGGGGAGAAGGTAACACATGAACACTCAAGGAGCTCCAGGTTCTGCTGTGTTCAGAGCATTTAGAAACAGGACACAAAGTTATGTCTTTGGGAGCCTCCTCCTGTCAGCTAAGCAGAGCGGGTTCTGGCCCTTAAATGTAAATCTTCCAGGCATCCTTCCAGACTGGGCCAAATTCTTCCTCCTCCATCCAAGGACAGAAACCTCCAAAAAATATTTCCAACTCCTGTGGCTTTTTTCAGCAAAAATGTGAGCATCTACCTGAAACTGATACGGCATGACCTAATAATAAGGGACTCAAGCAACAGGAAGCCAGCTTTAGATTGATTATCAGGAAAAACGCCTTAACTGTTAAGAGCAGTACAACGCTGGAACCCATGACCACAGGAGGTGGTGAGCGCTCAAACACTGGAGGCATTTGAGGACTGGACCACCATCTGCCCAATCTCCTCTGATTCGGATTCCTATATTGATCACGGGGTTGGCGTTGATGGGCTTACAGGCCCCTTCCAACTTCCTGATTCTATCTCACTTGCTTTTCTTACGGGGCTTTGAGGGACAAACCGGCCTTTTCACCACGACCGGGCCCTCCTGCAGCACCCACAGGGCCTGCCATGGGTCATTTATAGAGAATTATGTGTATTATGGGCTGGGATGTGAAGGAGGACAGTGGGCAGACACCCAACATCCCTCCCTAGTTTGTTTCTTCCACTCGAGGCAGGAAGCAGCAGAGAGAGAGAGAGAGAGAAGGTATATTATTTCGAACCAGAATGGAATTTAGTGCTTTGGGGGAAAGTGATTTAAAGAGGACAACCCTGGATCCTTGACAAGGGCAATCTTACAGGATGTGTTTGAGTCGCTTAATCAGCCAGATAACACTTGCAGCATCCACAGGGTGTATGTGGCCCTGCCTGCCTGAAAAACAAAAGTTCTAAAGGGATGCTGGCCGTTGACCCCGCTCCAGATAAATTATGGGATATCCTGTCAGGCCCCCAACTCAGGGTAATAATGTGTGGTTGCCAGCTCAGTTTATAGCCATTAAATTTACGATGCAGAGGGGCTCCAGAGCTCCAAAGCTGGCACGTGACCTTTTGTGCCGCAGCCAATAACAGCTTCAGGGTGAACAAGAGGTGAAGATAAAGGGCTTTGGCAGGATAAGCTTCAGAGGCTGACAGAGCATCCAGAACGGGCCTCCCATCCTGCATCTAACTAATCCTCCAGAGGAAGGGCGGGATCTGTTCTCCATCATCAGAGAGTGCAGGGCACCTCCTAAGGAGCTCAAGCGACAGGAAGATAGATTTTAGCCAAATATCAGGAAAAACTTCCATCAGAGAGTGCAGGGCACCTCCTAAGGACCTCAAGGGACAGGAAGCCAGATTTGGGCTGAATATCAGGAAAAACTTCCTAACTGTTAAACCAGTATGACAGTGGGAACCAATGACTTTGGGAGGTGGTGAGCGCTCCAACGCTGGAGGCCTTCAAGAGAAAACTGGACAATCATGTCTCAGATCAGCTTCGGTTTCGATTCCTGCCTTGAGCAGGGGGTTGGGTTGGACTGGATGGCCTTAAGAGGCCCCTTCCAGTTCCATACAATTCTATGATTCAATGATTTGTTCATGTGGATCAGAAAGGACCCACCGAGGCTCTCCCAGTAAGTGTACCAAATCCCTGAAGCACCTTTCTTTTCCAAAACTTAAAACTTGCGTCTTAAAATGGAGTGTCCAGAACCGGACTCCGGACTCTAGATGAGGTCGTCTAACCTGTGCTGAAGAGAGAGAGGTGCACAAACCACCCAAACGAGATTATCTCAGAAGGAGAATTAGGACAGAAGGAATATTCCCACAGTGAGAGAGGCTAGCTCTCCCCAAATCACGCCGGCAAGCGATCCCTTCTGCTTTGGAACCCCGCCGGATGGGAGGACATCCAGACTGAGCGCTGAGGGACCCAGAAAAGACAGTCCGAAAGGAATCCCAGCCCAGGCACGCAAGGGGCTCGCTGGAGACTTACAAACATGGTGGGCCCATACTGGAAAGCACTGGGGACTCCGGGAACGCCGGCGTAGTAGGGCAGCCCCGTGTAGCTGTACCCGGGCGGCAGGGCCGGGTTGAGAAAAGGCTGCTGAGCCGTGTGGTGAGCCTGCGTTTGGTTCTGTTGCGCCTGGGCCAGAGTGGTCGAGGGGGCGGGCGAGGCAGCATCTCCACGGCCGAATTTCGTGACATCACCTGTAGGGGAGGAAAAGCACCATGAAGCAGAGCCCAGGGATCAGAGCCCTGTTTGCCATCCAGGGGAGACGGCGGCTACGGTGGCCTCCTACGCGGTGCGGGCCAACCCAACATGGCAGCACCCTTCCAACGCTTTGGTCCTAAACAGTGTCCGAGTTGCCACCGACATTTCCTCAAACAACTGTGGCTTGTCCAGCAGTAAATTAAAGCCTGGGGACCGTTTGCCCCTCGGGTTGATTGCCTGCAGGGACCTCTCTTTCTTTCTCTTGGCGTCTATACCTTCCTCCCGCCCTCCACCATAACAGCGGCGCCTGTTGCAAAATTCAATACAGGAGCTTGGCTCAGGACTGCTTGGAGCCTCACGCTCCGTGCAAAGTCTGACAGCCAGAGAGGGGACGGCCGCCGTGCAGTGAAAAACAAAGAATCTTTTGGTACCAGCCACGTTTATGTAGCCGAGGTTTTCTCTGACCCCTTAGAGACCTCAACAGGCAGATATTTCTGCACACCACTGTGAGCAGGTTGAGGATAAGAGGGACCACAAAGGCAAAACCCCTTGACAATCGGTCATCTGACCAGCGGTCATTGAAGGACAGCTGTTGGGAAGTTGCAAGATCCCCTCTCAGCAGATGGACGCCTCTCCACGAAAGCCTGAGTCCGATGTAAGTCGGTGGCCTTCCGAGTCCCACAAGGCTCCTTGACGGTGGTCTTGCTGAGAGAGACGAACGCACCTAAGATCTCCAACTGCCCGACCCCAGAAACTCAGCTGTCTCAGAGCTTCTTCTCACCTGAGTAAACATTGTTAGCAAGGCTCCCTTCTCTGCCTGTCAAAGTTGCCGGGGCCGGGAATGTAATTCCGTAGTAATCCTGGAGAAAAAGAAAGACCAGATCTCTGGGTTTTAAACTTTAGAGCCAGAATGAAACCAGCTAGCATCTCCTGACTGCCCGCATTTGGAGGGCCGGCAAGAAGACAGGAGGACTTGCAAGGAAAATAACAAATCCCCATTCTAAGTTCTGCAGAGGCCTTTCCCTAAGATCACATTATTCTGGAAACAACTTATTCACCAAAGCTCAACTATCCACTGAATCCTGTTCAGGAAAGAACCTTACCATATACACTGGGCACATTTTTTAATCTGTACAGAATAAATGTTTAAACCTTGCTTTACAATGCAATGCCTACTACTGATGAATGTAAAAAGAAAAGAAAAAGCACATTAGCTATTTTCAGTTTCTGGTTGAAACTGTAGCAATGTTGTTAAAAACAGGAAGTGGTTCAGAAATGGATTAAATAATTCAGCAGAACTGGATCTGCAAGATTGTTTTTTTTGCCATCCCTTCCTTTTTATTTAAGCATTTATAGCCCATCCTATGTCACAGGATCTCAAAGGTTACTACGCCGTATAAACAAACACAACATTGTAACATTCAAATTTAAACCATTGTACTAAAACCCGCGCAGGCCATGATCCTCAACCCTCCCCCACCGAAAAAGGCTCAAATAAATACTTTCATCTTGACTTGGCACAGAAATGACGCCAATGTCGCTGCCGATCCAGCCTCCAAGGGGAGGGCATGTCACAGTTGGCAGGAAAAGCCCTTCCTTGCATCTGCACATAGCGGACTGTTCTCAATGGTGGGATGCAGAGCAGGAGCCCCCCCCCCCAAAGGACATCTTAGTGATTGGGAAAGGTTTATACAAGGAGCGGCCCTCTTTCAGAGATCCAGGCAGGTCCCCAGGCCTTTTTAGCAGCCCCCCCCCCTTTTACCAGAGAAACCAGAATGCAGAGCAGGACAGATGGAAAAGCAAAGATTTTGGAAGCGCAAAGCATCTTTTTGGGTGCAAAAAAAAAAAAAGCAAACTGCCCCGAGCTATTATTTGATGGGGTGTCCTGGGTCCACCTCCCTTTCCTTGCCTTTCTGACCTTGCACCGACAGGGATTGCTAGAAAAACAAACCCGGACGTGTAAATCTGCCAAAATAATGAGAGCGTAAGCCTAAGCATCCTAATTAGCTCCCTGACCTCATTGTTGGCTCTTGGCCCCAGGGGAGTCTAGATAGGAAAACGAAGGAACAAAGCGACGGAAGGGCCAAGCGCTCCCTCCCTCCCTCCCTCCCTGACCATATTTGGAGTTCCCAGGTTTGGTTTCCAGCCAGTTCTGCTTTCACTATGTCAGCTGCAAAACTCTCGGCTTTTCTGGTTTCCAAATTCAGGAGAGACGGCCAAGAATCCAGGGGGAAACCACCACCACCACCGTGTGGCAAAGGAAAGCGCCCAACTATTTGAAGGACCGTCTCCTTCCGTATGAGCCTAGGTGGCTTCTAACCATCTTCTTGGGAAGAAGCCCTTCTCTCGGTTCCACCACCTTCCCAAGCTTGTTTGGTGAGGACACGAGAGAGAGGGGGGCGGCTTCTCCGTGGCTGCTCCCAGGCTTTGGGGGTGAGCTGCCTCCCCAAAAAGTCAGGCTGGCCCCCTCCCTCGGGTCCCCCCACCCTCAGGCAAAAACCTCCCTTTTCAAGCCAGCTTTTAAACAAAAGGTGGGGGTTTAGGGAATGCTCTGGTTTTCTTTAAAATTTAGATGTTTCCAAAAATATTTTTTTAATGTTTTAAAAATTGATTTTAAGATATAGCTGTGTTCACTCATTATTGTATGGTTTTCATTGTTTTGAGCTGCCTTATGGGGGGGAAAGGTGGCATAGAAATAAAAATAAAATGAAAACGAAATAAAAACCAGCTTCTCCTGGCTAAAGGGGGGGGGCTTTTTATAAGCTGGAACTATACCAAACGCCTGAACAGTAATGATATTTTTAATATTTTAAAAAAAATACATACATGCATGCCAAAGATTTGCTTTCGACATATATTTAAGATTATGGGTCCACTTTTGAGTTACTTATTTCTTTAAAAAATTAACCCAATCCCAAGATTATGAACCAATCATAACATTTAGAAAGGAACCCTATTTTAAGATAAACAAAAAGAGTTTTGTTTTTGTTTTTTGCAAATCCAACGCCTTCGTCCTGCGACTCTGCAATGAAATAATTCAGCCGGATTTGTGACCTCTTGCAGGTGCTCCAAAGGGGAAGGGGGGGGGAAGATGGGACACGAGGAAAACAGTTCTGCTCCCACTGTTGGAACTGGCCTGTTGCAACCAGTCCTGCGTGCGAGTGCGAGTGCTTCAGGGTTAAGGATCTTCATACCTCTTGAGGTGTGGTCGCTGCCCAAACTCCCATTTCCTGCTGCTGTTTCCGTTTTGCTTTTCCTCCTCCGCCCCCTTCGCTGCCATCCCATGCGTCCTCTTAACTGTGGGTCACACAGTCTGACCATTTCGGGGAAGGGGCTGAGCTGAGATCATCTACCTGCCCCTTAGCCTCCGAGATCAGGCACAATGACCCCACCACATGCCAAATACCGGGGGGGGGGCGTTTGCCCACACTGGCAAAATTCCCCTTCACTGCTTGCAATGTGCCTTTATATGTTTGCAAAAGGAGCCACCAAGATTTATTTGAGCACCACCGGCTGCTCTTCCCTCTTCCTCTTGTGGCAAGTCTTAGCATGTGGGGCAGATACACCAGTGGAGGGTGGGGCGGGGCTCCTGGTGTGGGCACTTGCCTTCCAGAAGGGAGGAAGAAGCCAGAAAAGGTATTATTATCCTGCACCCCCTCCTAAAGCCACAAGGCCGCTATGTTCCTGGATGCATGCAAGCCCTCCTCGTAAGGCAAATGTTTTAAAGGCGGCACACTCATTTCGCAGTTCTCTATCACGTTGCCAATCCTGTGAATGGGTGACCCTCGAAAGATCCCGTCAACAGCCTTAATCAGCTGTTTGCAAACTCAATCAAGGCTTTGGCTTCCTCTCTTGTTTTTCATAATCTCAAACTTAGAATCACTTAAATGTTTTTCTGCCTGTTTCCTAAGATATTTCCTCTTATTTATTTATTGAGTGCAGCTCCGCAGAAAGAATACCTAGGCTGTGGCTTTCTTTAGGGGTGAGTCTGTCTCATATTTCCTGTTCCTCTTTTCCTGCTGCCTTCCACTTTTCCCAACATTATTGTCTTTACCAGCAAGTCTTGCCTTCTCATGTTGTGCCCAAAGTACAACAGCCTCCGCTTTGCCATTTTTGCTTCTAGGGAGAGTCCAGGCTTGACTTAATCTAGAACCCCCTCCTTATTTGTCTTTCCAGCAGATGAGGGATTTCATTAAATTCCCCCCTCCCCTGTATTTCAAATGAACAGACGTCTCCCCCCCACACACACTGGTAGTTTTCTTCACTGGCCAGTTTTTACCTCCAGATACCATAATTAGGAATCCAATGATCTTGTTGATTTTGCAATATGGCTGAGACACCTTCCTCCAATAATAAGTCTACCTGAACAGGTGAATGGCTTAAAATTCATATCAAGAAACAAGATTGATAGGCAGAACATGGTTTGCTATTATTGTTCATCCCCAAATAAAGGGAATATACTTGGCTCTTTCATGTACAAGAAAATGTAGACCGGGGGGGGAAGGTAAAACTCCTTCAGAGTCAGCACAGGATCAAGAGCTGAAAACAGCTTGATGAGCGGAGGGACCACAAAAAAAAAGTTAAGACTGAGAAAGTGGAAAGTGAAAATGAAACCAGGGGAATTCGAGAGGACCTAAGAAAATGATGAATGAAAACATGTCCCACAAAATAAATAGAGGAAGATGGAAGAGGAGCACATTGCAAGGCTGGCTCACAGAACGGGACCGGATCTGGCTGCTCCAGGAAAGACTGCCATGGCACTCAAATCGTCTGCAACCCCTGCCGCGCTCCTTTACCTGGGACTGGTGCTCTCTGCTCAAGCTGCAGCTCTGGACTGCAACTTCCTGAAACTGCAGCAGGAAAGATTTAATCGGGAGAGCCTAAAACAGCTGGAAAAGATGATCTCAAAGTTCTCGCCAAGGTGCCGGGAGCAGGCGCCCGACTTCAACTTTCCTGCAGAGACCCTGAAAACACAAGACTCGTCGCTCGCCGCAAAAGATATACTAAGCGGGTTTTTGGCCATCCTGAGCAGCGACCGGCTGAAGACCAGCTGGGAAACCCCACTCTTCAGAGACAGGTCAGTCCGTGCTCTTTAGAACACCCGTCACCTCGGTTTATAAGGGAAGGCGCAAAGGGGCGGATGCTGCCCATGCGGTGGGCGAGAGGCCGGATGAAGCTGGCCCGTCTCTTTCAACTCCACTGTTTTATGATTACAGGTTTCTCAACGGGCTGTTTGCACAAACGGAAAGCATCCAAAGGTGTCTCGAGGAAAGACAAGTCACCTGGGGAAGGAGCAAATATGAACGGGCGAACAAGCAGGGGCTGAAGCGATACTTCCAGAGGATCAGAGCTTTCCTCGAAGAGAAGGGACGCAAAGCTTGTGCTTATGAGAGCCTACAACTGGAATTCCAGAGGAGTTTCATGTACATTGACATACTCTTGAAGAGAACGGACACTGGGACTCGGTAGGGCTGGAATTCGGTGCAGAACGAGAGGCGTCAAAAAGTCTCCAGTTCTGCAACTGTCTTGCGCTTGCATGTCCTTATTTATTTATTTGTCTGTTTATTTATTTATTTATTTATTTCATTTTTACCACTTTTATATGTTAATGAAATTTGTTATAAAGGTTCACTTATTTTTTTAAACTATACAGTGCTCAAAGGCTGATTTGTTTGGCAAGTTTTATTTAGAGGGTTTATTTAAAAAAACATTTCCGCAAACCCACAAAAACGAAACAATCCTGAAACACACACGGTGTCCTACTGAAGAACTAGGCAATACTTTATATGTCGACGAAAGACCCTCAGCCACTGGCAGATGATGAGCCTGGACAGGGACAGAGACCAACCTTGGGGTTGGAGAAAAGATGTAAAAAAAAAAAGATGATAACAGAAGAGGGTATCCCTAGGAAGGTAGTGAAAACGGGACCGTGTAGCTAGACTCCCTGCAAAGGGTTTAACAGAACGGGAGGCAACAAAGGTGACATGGAAGTCTTCTCAAGGGGGTGTAGGATCTGGGCCACGTGGCAATGAAGCTCTGAACGGCCCAGATCCTACACCCTCTGAAGCAGACTTCCATGTCACCTTACCCCAGGGAGTTTGCTGGTGCAGTAAATTTGAAAACTACCTTAAGGACAGTGTCCCCCTTTATAAGCCTGCCTGGGTGTGCTTTCACTGGTGCATTTGGTGGGGACACAGGACAGGGCCTTCTCTGTGGCTGCTCCTTTAGACTCTGGAACTCCCTCCCACAAGGTCCCAGGGCTGGCCCCATCTTTGCTGTCCTCCTGCAAGCAGGCAAAGACCTTTCTCTTCAGAACAAGGTTTCCTTTTAATTACTGGCTGCCTGAATGTTTTTTTTAAATGGATGGTTGTGCCTTGCTGCTTTTAAATGTCTTTTTTGCTTTTGTTTACATTTTCTTAAGAGTGATGCTTGTGTTTTTTTTTTTAGTATTTACATACTCACTGTTTTTAGCTTTAAATATTCATTCATTCATTCATTCATTCATTCATTCATTCATTCATTCGCTTACTCACTCATTCACATGCCACCCATCTGACCAATGATCAACTCTGGGCCGTGTACAACCATGACAACAACATACAACATCATACACACAATTAAAAGTAAAACATTAACGTTAAAACTGACATTATGTTTAAAAACAGATGGCAGTTAAAAACCACAGGCTAATCATCTCAGCAGGCTAATCAGATGGAATATCTCAGAAAGCCTGTGGGACTAAGAAGGTTTTTGAGGGATTTCTTAGAGGTCACCAAGAGAGGGAGGGAGTCAAGTGAATTTCAGGTGGCAGCTCATTCTCAAGCTGAGGAGCAACCACCAAGGAGGCCCTGCTCCTCGTAAAACCCTTTCGGGGCTCCCTCGGAGGGGCTGTCCTCAGCCACCCCACCTGGGATTGTAGGGGTAAGAAACAGGCATTCTGCCATGTACCGAGGCCCCAACTATTTAGGGCTTTAAAGGTCAAAGCCAGCCCCCCTTGGAGCTGATATGGAAACAGACCCATTACCAGTGCAAGGCGGTCCGTACTGGGGAGATGGGCAGCTATTTACGAACTTCTCTCACTAACCTGGCTGCCATATTCTGGGGCCTGTTGAGGTTTCCATAGGAGTCTCATGGGCAGCCCCACGTAGAGGACATTGCAGCCATCTATCCTTGATGCAGCTGGGCAATCTGCCTTAGATGGAAGCAGGCAGGCCGAAGGACAGACACCATTTTGGTGTCGATGGACCGAGCTGGGTCCAAACGGACACCCAAGCTGCGAAGCTCTCTTTAGAGTGCCCTCCCTACAGAGGAGAGGGAGCCTCCCCCCATCCACGGGCAGTAGGAACCTGCACCCAGAGGACCTCCGTCTTGTCCGCGTTCAATTTCAGTCTGTTGGCCCCTGTCCACTCCAGCGCGGAGCCAAACAGCACTCAAGGAATCGGACAGCATTCACGGCAGAAGGGGTGGAAGCACAGACAGAGCTGGGTGTCGTCTGCACAGTGATGACACAACACTCCAACGTCATTAAAAAATATACTGTCCACTCCAGCGCGGAGCCAAACAGCATTCAAGGAATCGGACAGCATTCATGGCAGAAGGGGTGGAAGCAGAGACAGAGCTGGGTGTCGTCTGCACAGTGGTGACACAACACTCCAACGTCATTAAAAATATCGTCTTTTAGTGATGTAAGCCACCTTGGTTCTTTTTGCGAGAGAGAGAGAGAGAAAGAAAGAGAGAGAGAGAGAAAGAGAGAAAGAAAGAAAGAAAGAAAGGAAGGAAGGAAGGAAGGAAGGAAGGAAGGAAGGAGAGAGAGAGAGAAACAGACAGACAGACAAATAGGATGTACTTAAATCACAGAGAATAAACCAGGAATAATCAGCCTAGGAGATGAAGAATCAACATACAAGAATCAGAGGGAAACAGACGAAAATCACATTTCTGCCTGCAAGTTTAACACCAGTTAGCTGTTTATAAACTGCCCCTTTGTTCCTCTAGTTAAAAGTGAGACAGAACCCAATTAGGGTGGAGGTGTGAGCAGATGATCCATTTGATTCTTAACAGTCCAAAAGAAAATTAGAGGCCAAGGCACAGCCCATTAGATGTTGTCCTGTTTCTTCTTACCTTCGTTTATTATCTCTGAAAGTAACACAGGAAATTGTTTGCTCAGAGAAACAAACAAAGAAGCTTCTTTTTGTTTTAATCTATGGAACAAAAACCTGCTTGGCCACTTGAAACTAAACAGTTTGAAAAGGTCTTTTAAAGAAGTTTCTTCACACTTTGATCCAGAGCCAGAATCTAGGATTTTCTTACGGCTTCAGACAGCAAGAAATGCCATTAAGACATCAAGCAAGTAAAGTCTTGCTAATTGACTCCATGACCTCCAGAGCAAAAGGAGCTGTCTCAAAACGGTCCAATTAATTTGACTGTTTGGGGCTCAGAGGTTGATTTAATGCCCTTTTATTACAGAAGGTAACCTAAAAAACAAAGCCATAAAGCCTTTTAAAAAATTTAAATGAACACCTGGTCTAGAGAAATGTCTTGCCAGTGTGACACAGAAGGCTGGCGGTCCAGGGTTCAGCAGCATAATCCACAGTGTGTTGTTTAATGATTGTAAAATGGATCAGCAGCACTAAAAACAGTTTAAAGGAGTTGACCATTTCAGTTACTCCTGCCAAGTTAACCTAGAAGCTTGGCTGTTAGGTCACAGAAGGATCTTTTCCAAATCAATGAATAAATGAAGAGGGCCCATCCTAAATAACTCCACCCAATGGCTCTGTCCAGATGCAACACAGGTGGTTGGGTGTCATCCCAAGCACATACTCAAAAGCACAGACTGGAACTGGGCTGGATTCGTCCTGAATGTTCTGCCACTGGTGCTTTTGCAGAGGAAAATGTGGCTGCCTTGGAATGGAAATGGTGTTCAAATCCCTGGCCAATTTGCCTAGTCAAATCACAGCTAGCCCAGAGACCAGCTAAATCTCCAGAGCTTATTGGAATTCAAGGACCTCCCAGTCCCTAAAAACAGATTGCAATCTGACAAGTTACAATCCCACTTCAGAGAAAGAAAGATGGTACTAATACCATCCCCTGGACTGCAAGGAGAACAAACCTATCCATTCTGAAGGAAATCAACCCTGAGTGCTCACTGGAAAGACAGATCCTGAAGCTGAAGCTCCAATCCTTTGGCCATCTCATGGGAAGAGAAGGCTCCCTGGAAAAGACCCTGATGTTGGGAAAGTGTGAAGGCAGGAGGAGAAGGAGATGACGGAGGACAAGATGGTTGGACAGGGTCACCGAAGCGACCAACATGAATTTGACCCAACTCTCCGGGAGGCCGTGGAAGACAGGAGGGCCTGGCCTGCTCTGGTCCATGGGGTCACGAAGAGTCAGACACGACTTAACGACTAAACAAGAACACCATCCAGACTGAGACGGCCAACCTCCAGTACAGAGCATCCGATCTATTGTGTCCTACACAACCCGCGAGAACCCATGTGAGATAGTGGAGAGAGTAACAGATTAGAACTCAGGACACCTGTGGGTTCAAGCCCTACTTGGCGAGGGAAACCCCTGGGGGTCGGGGAGAGAGGAAATGGTAAACCCACTTCTTTAGTTACCCTCATACACTCTGAAGATCTTATTTATCAAATGTCACTCGATGGCATATGACATACAATGTATATGGCTTTTCACACACTAAACAAAAACCTTCAGGATTCCCATCGTAACCATCCATTTCTGTGCAAAGCAAACAGAAGCATGGAATGTCAAGGCCAAGTCAGTTGCCACCCATACAAAGCCAGCCAGATTCTCTGCAAAGTGATATGCTCAGTGTTTCCCCGTGAGCCCCCAGCACCTACAACCACACTGATCCATTACCGTAAGGTTTACACACTAGTCATGGGGTTGGTGTTTTGAAGGCAAGAGCTTCCTTCCTACCTCCAGGCTAATGCACCACAGACTACCTTGCCAAAATCAACAGATCCAGCACTGGTACACCTGCCAGTTCGTGCTTTCTTTACCCACTTCGTAAGTCAGTTTGCACCTATTTTCAGAATGGCATCGCAGATCATGGCTGACAACTCATTTACAAGCTGAAGGTTTGGAAAATCCAGCTGGCACCTGCCTTCCACATATGCCAGACTGAACCACTACCTCTTTATCATCTAACACAGTGCGTGTCCTTTGCAGATTCCAGCTTCGAAGCATAAAGCTCTTTGTTCATTTCATAAATGTCATCTATAGGTCTTCAGAACGTTGGCTCCTTTAAATGAACTAGATCTTATTCAAAAGGTATTCTTTTTAAACATTCGAAAGCATTCGCAGTTAGGGAAGGGGATGGCAAAAAAAATCTGGACAATGTGGGCCATTACGACAATGTGGACCTTTACATTGTCTTAGGACGTTCCTACAGACCTTCTCCAAACGGGTATGTCTGAAGCTGACACATGTTCAGAACAGTTTGATTAATTGCAATTAAGACCTCTCTAAGCAAAAGTCAGAACCAAATCGCCTCTAGTGAGAAATTAAAGAAACAGGTGCAGACATGTAAATGTAGGCGCCAAACAGTACAAAAAAGGAGCCACCTTAATACCAGGGAGAAATCTCATATCCTTTTTTGCATTTCCAGACTTTTAGTGGAAGCATTCTACAACAAAGGCTGGGATCCTGCCCTTATTCTTAAAGTAAAGCTTTTCTCCCAAGGCTCTGGGGAAACAAATGAGCTGCTCTTGAGATAGGAGCACTCTTGAAAGTCTCATCCTTAGCAAAAACACCAACTGGTTCATTGAAACCACACACAGAAAAAAAAAACACATTAGGAAATGCCACCTACCATTGGCAGCCGGGACTGGAGCATCTGGAGATCATCATAACCATAAATCTGCTTGAAGACAGAGAGAATAAGAGAAACATACAAACAGAAATGTGAAGAAGTAATGCTCCCATTCAATTACTTAGGTTAAAAAGCCTGTGTGTGTCAAGCCAATCATGTAAAAAAACAACCCAAAAATGCTAAGCTAATGAGATGGTTAATTCAGTTGATGCTATCTTGGTGAACAGCAGCCGTGTTAAGAACTGTGATGCTCTGAGCCTCAAACTTGATGACAGTTTACACTATAAAGTGCAACAAAGTTTGAGTTACTGCCCATAATAAAATGGATCTTTTTGGATCCAATTAACAATTAAAACTGGCTGAAATTCTGTCCGTGGAGCTAAGGCTCATGATGTCATTAGCCACGGTGATTTTTCAGAAACAAAATAATGAATGATATCTGACCGCTGAGGTCCTGAGGCTCCTATGATAACCATTCTGTCAAGGGGACGCTGTCAGGAGCTCCAGGATGGGAGCAAGAGAGCCTTTTAATTACTGAAAATCCACTGCTGTTGGTAAAGTCACTTGGCAGTGCTGATATTTGGGAATTAAAGGAATTCCACCCCATTCTGCCACCATCAATGGCTTCCTCCATAACAAATGGGATCCCGTAGGAGCCTTGCAACTTTGGGAGAATGGTTTGAAAATTTGTTTCACAAAAATTGTGGTGGCTAAGTCATCAACAGCTTTACTCAACAACACAAGTTGTGGAGTTTCAACCCATAAATGCTGAACCCCAGTTCGTAACCCAATTGTCTCTGTGGGTCTACAATGCCATAAAGAGCAAAGGACAGGCTTTGTAGTGAAGACTACAGAAGCGTCTGTCTCACCTCCAGATTCAGTGCATGGCGTACACAACTTCTGACTATATCATGGTGACGAAATGCATGCGCTGAAATTATAAGGTGAAACCACGACAAACCGCTGAACACACCTTCCTGAATAAGGCCAAAAATCTTCTAAGTTGAGAACCTTGACTTTGTCACCCTCCCATATCCATTTGAAGGTTATGCTTTTAAGTCTACTCTAACAAATTACCAAGAGCTGCTCTACCAGACTAAGAGATTGCATTCTTAACTTCAGTGGTATTTTGCAGGTGTTTTCAAAATACATTAATTGACCGGTTTTGCGAGGAGGTGCTTGGCTGAGGACTCTCAACCCCACATAAATTCAAGTTCAGAGGAACAAGCACCACATATGTGGCCACTGCCACCACCTCCAGCTTTGGGTGAAGCATCTGTTCTAGACCCTCTGGCTTCAAGGCAGGATCACGACCACAGAGGGCCTTCCCTTCCAGGTCACCTCAGGGAGGCAGCACACGGAAACTGCTTACTGGGTAGGCTGGCAGGATTCCTCCAGGTCCGACAATATACTGGTTATGTAGCAAGGGTGGTACCCCTTGTGCCAGGTTAGGGGGTGCTTTGCCTGTGAAGCCAAAAGAAACACCTTTTAAAACAAGCCACAAGGGTGGGGGGGAGGGAGAAACAGGTCGTGAAAAGGGGTGGGTGAGAGAGAGAAAGAGCAAAGGCTCCGAAGTACACCCTCTGGCAAGCTCTCTGGTTGAACTCCAAAGGCCACCTCCTGAGGGTCAGGATGTGTCGTGAGAGTGAAATTTGAATTAAGGAGACAAAATGAAAACGTGAACAGGGTTACCGTCTCAACGTACAACCTGCAGGCCGCGTACAATCATACAAAGCTATTTTTGAGGGTTTCCCAGACCTGCACATGACTCCCCTGACCCTTATTTCTCTCTCTCTCTCTGGCAAAAAAAGTTTGTTTTCACTCCACCAGAAATGAAATCAGTCTTGCAGGTCCCTGGTTCATAGGCTCCTTGTATATCAGAAGCAACCTTAAGGCACGAAACAACAGGCCTCCCCTTTCAATGGGAAGAGTTTAGAGGGATCCCTCCCACAGATCCAAGCTAGTAAACATCTAATTCCTCTTTTAATTCCCCCCGCCACCCCACCCCCCCAATTTTGGCCATTGGGGCCTGGTATGACTTAGGGAATCTATCTTTTTTAATGAAAATTCAGTGCTGAAGGAAAAGGATACTCTGTTTTCTAGTAGTCTAGCTCTGGATCAGGGAACACGAAAACAATAATAATAACGGAGAACGTGTTCTCTTCCTAGGTCCAACCTTCTGCACTTTTTTGAAGGGAGAACCCACCAACATTCCCCCACAACTTCTGCCCCTGTTTTAAAATGAAATGCACAACACCCTCCCTAAACTGGCCATCCTTCCATCTTAACCAGGGTTCAAAATGATCAGGCTCATTTCCCTCTCTCTCTCCCCCCCACCGACCCCTTTTTTTCCAAAAGAAAAAACAGTACTGAAGACAAAGGAATTTTTATCTGCACAAAGGGGCTTTGCTTGGTTTCACACCTCGATCCGTTTCATGAATGCTAACGGAAAAAAATTATCCATTATCGCACAAGGGGCGCGAATGTTCTGCTGACAACAAAGTCTCCCATTTACCATTTGTATAAGTAGAAGAATCTATTTAAGTAAAAAAGAATCAGCAGCTTTTACAAGCCCCAAAATAAAATCTGGTTCTTGCAAGCCGATTTTCCTCATTTCGATACAATCAATCTGATTGAATATGAACTGGCGACTCTTGCCACACTTGTGAGTGATCCGAATTTGCCGATTTGCATCCACTTTTCTGCTCTGACCATTAAGCCAGGCAAGAGATAGTGTGACCCCAATGGGCACAGAAGAGTGTTTTCCTCCTGGCCTTGTAAGTGGACTTCGTTTTGTGCAATACACACGCGTGGACCGGCCTCCCTCCATGGGATGCATTGGTGGTTCTGGGTGACGACAGTGGGTATTGTCGGCAAACACAGTGAGAGGTCATTAGGCCAGTGCAGATGTGGGCGAAGAGGCTAGGCTGATGATGCAGACAGGGGAGGCAAAATCGAAAGCCTGACCCTACTCACACGGGAGATTCCATGAAGTCTATAGGGCCTGTTCACCTTCTGATGACAGACTTCTCTGAGGAAGTCTTAAGTCCCTAAGATGATCTACAGGTCTACCCTAGCTGTGCAGTTCTGACTAGAGATGGGCACGAACCACCCATTTGTTCAGCAGCCGAACAGGTGTTCAGAGCTCTGCCGACAGGCGCCTACTGAGAAGCACTGACCCACCTTCCCTGCCCCAACTCTTCCCGGTGCTGCCTCTCAACGGGCGCCCGCTGGAGGAGACAGGAGTTCAGAAGCACCTGGCATTTTGATACAATAAAGACCCGGTGGACCACTAAACAAAGCCGTATGAACCACCAAACCAGTGGTTCACCCCCAACTCTCGTTTTGACCATGAACTCTGAAACACACTCTGTCTGTGTGTGTGTGTATGTGTGTCTCTAAGATCATTAGATTAAGATTACTGTGATAAGCAAACCCCATAGAAAAGTAAAGATGGTAGACAAGACTATGGGTCCATTCAACTCAGAACCGTCTAGCTTCCTGAGATGGGTCATTCGTTTCACTATGACTTCCCTGCATGTGTTCTACCTTTATAGGGGTGTTGGCCAAACTATAGTTCTTCTTTGCATCTTGTTGTTTTATTATTATTTCTGCTGCTTTTCAGAGCAATTCACTTGATCTATATACCTCGCCTCAGTATCTACTCTGATGCATCCGTTCAGAGAGACCCAAGACAACCCCAAGAGAAGCAGATGGAAAAAATAAGTCTGGGTCCGTTTTGCTGGCAGAGCAGAAGCTGCGTCGCATAAACTGGGTTCTTCGGACACCTTAGTTTTGTCTCCACGGCTGGTATTTTCAAATAACTGGAAATGTTTTAAGCAAACCAGGGAGGGAGAAGTAGTAGAATCGGGAAAGCTGTCTAATTTCCCACAAGCACAAAGTCCAGCACCTCTTGTTCTTAAATTAGCAAGTTATGCATTAAAAGGTTACCTCCATCAACTATTTCCACACATTAAAAAGGCAGGCAACTTTTATTTCATCAGCCAGTGTGCAGAGTGGGCTTAAAAAAGGCAAAGCCTTTTAGAGACAGCACAGAATTTCGTAAGCCGGTTCTAGCTGGACGAGCGGTTCCAACAGGCGGACCTGCAGACTGAAAAGTCCTCTCTGCCTAAATCCACAAGATCAGTTAACAGGGCGAACCTGAAGACACTAAGGGAGCTGCCCGGGTGGTGGGAGCCGGCAAAGACACGGCGGTCACGTTCAGGCCCAAGCTGTTGGTGGTGTTGGCCATCCCACTGCTGGCCGTGCTGGAGACGGAAGCCGTGGTGGTCAAGGTGGAGGCCGCAGAGAAGGTGGTGGAAGGAGGAGGGATCACAGTGCAGTTCTCGACACTCGTGTGCTGGAAAAAGGAAATAAAAAGACATGCACACAACAAGAGGAGGTTAAAACAGGGAGCACGGCGCGATTCAGGATTTAAAAAAAGGTACACTGGGTATAAAAGAACGGGAAAGGGGGAAGTCTTTATACCGAATAGAAACAGCTCTGGTTTAAAGTCTATTATGTTTTTTTAAAAATTTTGTAAGCTGTGTATGGTATTTTAATCCAAAGGTTTTTAACTTTACCACAAGATAACAAGTACCTGCTTTTTGATGGCACTTCCAACATTTATTAGACATATTAGAAAACACTTTAGCTAATCTAGCAGGTGGGAGGTGCCACCTATAAAACATTTTATATAAGTTCTCTTTATAAGATGTCGCCATTGTCATTTTACAGTTTCTATAAATTTTCATAAACAAAATGTATATCTAACGTTGCGTATTTTAACAGCAGCTAGGATTGTACTGGCACAACACTGGAAAAAGGAAGGAATACCTACAGATGAAGAAACAATTAAGAAGATTTTGGACTGTGTGGAAATGGACAGACTTACATAGAAAATCAAAGAGAAAGAAGATCCAGAATATTTTCAAACATGGAGTCTGTTCTACCAATGGTTAGAAACGCAGTGTAGAGATTCGGCCCTAATCTTTATTAACAAATGAATATAAGATGAACCCATGTACCATGATGTTTAATAAGCACAGATTGTACTACTACTACTACTAATAAAAAAGATTGTTTTAAAAAAAAGGAAAATGAGAAGTCTTGACCCCCAATTTAAAACATATTGCTCCATCTGACTTCTCGCAATGGGTAATTGAGACGTTCAGCAATTTAAGGTGAGTTTATCTATTAACTCATCACACAGCAAGAAGATTACATGCTTCTCTCAATGACCTGATGCTACCTCCCTCATGATGAAAATCAAGTACTTTTTTTTTTGGGGGGGGGGAAGCATGAATTCCATTACTAATCAATTGATGGACTATCTATATAAATCTGTTTAGAGGAAGTAAAGAAACAGAGTTTTTTTTCCTTCCAAATAATCTACTGAAAATTATGAATTGACTAGCCACATCCTAACTGTTTTGGAACGCGGCTTTCAATCCAGAGCCGTCAACACAAGGTGGCAATGGTGAGAAACGAATCTCTCCACCACCGCACACAGAGAGGACAGGTAGTTCCTTATTCTTAAGACGGGATGGGGACGTTTCTCGGGCCATCCCTCTAGCAAAGCAACCCCTCCCTTTCCTTGGCTGCTGGTTCTACCACCTCTTACCTCATCTTCCAAAGGGTCCTCATTTCCCTACTCTAACTGAAGACAAAGGACCTTTGTGATGGAAAACTGTTTTAGTGTGGAGTAAGCTAGAAGGGGAGCGATAGTCCCTACTCTACAGTAAAGAGGATGAAATCTCCATCTGGGCCCCGTCTGTCCTGTGTTCCTGGCTAAGATTCAGCTTCTGCAGGAAGTGGACAGGAACCCTTGGATTGGTGAGGGCTACCACCTGTCTGTTGGACCCTTGACCTTTTTGGCTTTTAAAAGCTGCCTGCCTGGGAGGGACTGAAGGAGGGGGTATGAGGAACGGCGAATGCCCGTCTTCCACCCGCCCCCACAGCAGAGCAAGGTCCCAGCATTCCTTAAAGGAGGCAGAAGGAAGATCATCCTTGGAAAAGCCTTCCTGGGACCCCATGGTATTGGAGAATTACCAGCCAGTCTCTAATATCCCATTCTTGGGCAAGGTGATGGAGCCAGTTATGGCTTTCTTAGCTCCAGGGGTTCTTGGGTGTGACGGATCGTGTAGATTATCTATTTCAATCTGGCTTCAGGATCTGGATATGGGACAGACTGCTTGAGTCACCTTGGTGGATGACCTCCACCGGGAACTGGACAGGGTGCCTGCCTGCATCCCTGTGGGTTCTGCTGGATCTCGCAGTAACCTCCAATAACCATCTAAAAGACGGGACCCTCCTGGGCCGTCTCTCTGGGATGGGACTCGGAAGCCTAGTTTTAGGGGGGCTCCGCTCCTTCCTGGAGAAGAGAACTCCAGGAAGATAGAGGAGCTGCCTCAGGTCCTTCTAAGGAGAAAGATGGGGCAAAAAATTTTCTTAATTATAATAATAACAGATGAATGAATAACTCAGAAGGTAGTGCTGGAGGATTCCTGTTCAATGTCCTGACGGTTGGTTCACAGCGTCCATCAAGGCTCTGTTTCGTCCTGGGCCATTTACCATCTACATGAAACCGCTGGGAGAGGCTGTCCAGAGTTTTGGGGGTTTGGTGTCACCCGTTTGCAGATGGCACTCCAGTTCTCTCTCTCCTTTCCATCTACATCCAAGGAAGCTGTTTCAGTTCCAGACCAGTTTCTGGAGTCAGCAAAGGGCTGGATAAGAGCAAATAAACTGAACTTCAATCCAGACGAGACAGAGGGGCTTCTTGGTCAGTCAAAAGGCAGATCAGGGAAATGGCATCCAGCCTGTGTGGAAGAGGGTTACAACCCCCCCCCCGAACACAGGTGTGTGGCTCGGGGATGCTCCTGGATTTGACCCTGAGAATGGATGTCCAGGTTTCAGTGATGGCCAGGATTGTCTCTGCACAGTTAAAACTGGTATGCCAGCTGTTACACCTGTTCCTGGAGAGGCATAGGGCCACAGTGATACATGCCTCGGTTACATCTCAGCCGGATTACCGTGATACCCCTATGCGTGGCTGCCTCTGTAAAGTGTCTGGAAATTTTAACGGGTCCAAAATGCTGCAGCCAGATTGTTAACTGGGGCTCAAAATAGGGATCACACAATGCATCCTGTTACAGCAGCTTGACTGGCTGCTAATCCATTTCTGGGCACAATTCAAACTTCTGGTTTTAATCTATGTTTCAGCTTATTACGGTCGAAGACCAGAAGATTAAACAGAGTATACAAAAATACGGTACACATTTTAAGAAGACACTCCAAGAAACTGGAAACATTTACATTAAAACTGAATTCGTCTGTGAAGTCATAAATGGCCTGGGTCCAAGCCACCTAAAAGACTGCATCTCCCTCTATGAGCCATCAGGAGAGGTCTTTCCCCTTGATCCTGCCACCGTCACAGGTGGGTTTGGTGGGGACATAGGATGGGGCCTTCTCTGTGGCTGCTCCCAAGACTCTGGAACTCCCTGCCACTGGAGGTCAAAACCTGGCCTCATATTTGCTGTCCTACCTTTCTCTCTTCTTCCTTGTGACTGGCTGAGACGGTTGCATTTTTTAAATTTATTATTACTGTTATTTTAAACCTGTTTTTATTACTGTTTCTAGATTCTTTTTTATAATATTTCCAATGTTTAACCCTTTAAAAATATTATAACCATTGACTGACTGTCTTAGCTTTTAATACTATAAGCCAACGTTAGGGGAAAAGCGATCTATAAATATTTTAAATAAATAAATATGGCTGATCCTTCCAAGGAGGGTGATTTAACCGTTGTCAAAGTTAAGCAAAGAGCTTCTTACCGTGTGTGACGTGGATGATGACAGGGCTGAGGCAGATGGCAGGCTGCTCTGATGGTTCGAAAGATTGCTGGGAGGAAAGCCAACAAGAGGTTTTCAGCTATATACATACAATTCGCATGTGGACATTAACAGTCGCTCCTCATAAAACGAGAAGCACTCAGGGAAAAAAAGATCAATTCAGATGAGTTCAGGTGGCTGAGAGATCTCTCTGGTGAGCATATGGATGGCTTTTAAGGTTAAACTGCCAGATATAAAACATGAGGAGGGCTGCAATGGATGGGGGGAGGACATGAACGTGCACACAAACCTTCTCCCTTGGGATCTCCACACACCCCCACACCCCCGCTTTAGAGATCTCTGTATATTCAAGCACAGAAATCCGAGGGAAGTTTTCAAGCAAGTCTGGCCTGACAAATCATCTCAGAGGTTCCTTCCACCGGAAAGCCCGGCTTCACAAGAGGAACGTCAGAAGAGGTCTAAGGCAAATTCATCTTGAGACATTTAAGCCCCCCCCCTTTTTTTTTTGATTTCTGCACAAGACCTATAAGGCAGCCGGGCACAGAAGAGTGCTGGGTGTGGGGCCTGCAGGTAGGCATTGACCCTGTACCCCCAGTTAATCCTTCAAAGGCCCGATGCATGCGTCATCTCCTACTTCAAGACTAAAGCTGGACGCCGCAGACTGAGGCACAACCTCTGACTGCAGAGCTCCAGTGCAACAGCAGATTTCCAAGTCCCTCCCTCCCCCCATTTTTATTTTTAATTTTTTTTAGATTAGCGTCATCAAGTCAAATCAGGAGAGGGCAACCTCTGTCTGCCTTCTGGCCTGTCTGGAGCCCTAGAAACGGAGTGAAGTGAACAATGAACCCACGGAACGTCCTCGGCCGGCGAAGGGACCAGAAGCAAACACTCCAGGGAGCGGGCCGCTGGTTTCCCCACGCACCCAACACCCCTCATTTTCTCACGGCGGTCGCCCCATACTACCTGCTTAACTGGGAGAGAGAGCTGCTGGCCAACTCATTGGACGGTGGCAAGCTGGGAAGTGCGGCGGTATGCGGGGGTGCCGGAGGGAGAAGCAAAGCGGTGGCGGCAGCGCCGGCTGTGGTGCTAGGCAGGGAGGAGCCTTTGGCAGGTAGCGATGGAGGAGAGGTTTCTGCCTTAGACGCTGGAACGGATGACGGAGCTGAAAAGGGGGGGGAAAGGCTGTTCAGAGAAGGGCCCACCCGGTACCACCAGGGACCGTGAACGGGACGGTGCACGTTAAACAGAGAAAAAGAAGTACATCCGATCAACTGTGCCAGAGAGGGGTTACGAAAGGTCACAAACAAGTCTTCATGAGCTCAGCAAGAAAAGCACTACGACGTGATACGGCTGCTTCTTTGTGAGTCACCAGCAAGCAGGTCTCTTATCTGTGCAGTTTTACAGTCAAGAAAGGGCTTTTTAGACGTCTCTAACCCATACCGGTCTTGGGTTCAACAACCCTGCCCGCTAATTACTCTTGCGCACCAGGCCCTTGCTCTCCCGGCTGCTCAAGCAATCTTTGGCCGAGTGTCTCTTCTGTACCGAAGGCTCTCTCCCCTTGATGCCCTCAGTCCTGTGCTAATGATGGCTGTGTATTTCTTCCTACCCAGCAGGAGGATCAGAGGCGAGAGAGCATGGAAGAGATGCTATAGAGGAAGCAGGAGTTACTAGTGGTGCCAGCCGCTGCCTGTCAATCCAGTGAGTGACCTCTGTGGTTGAAAAACACCTTTGCTGTTTGCAAAAATCAAAACTCCGGGAGTAGACTGCACAGGTGTCAGAATGCAAAAATAAGCAGCAATATGTTTCTAGGAACCTCTGCAGGGAGCTACACTGCCTCGTGTAATTCTAGCGCACCTTCAGACTGAATGGGGAGAGACAGGAATGCCCCCAGCAATAAGAAACACGATGCCAGGAATCGGGCAGGCCCTAGCCTCCTTCTGGATAGGGAAGGAAACCAATTCTCTTTTAAAGGACAGCATACAAAACATTTGGCCCTGCAACCTGACCCATGACAGGACAACAACAGACACACCACAATTGTGTGTTTTGCCTGTAAGAGCATCAAGCAAAATGACTCCTGGGTGCCAGCAGAAAACCTATGCCGTTAAGGCATCGTGCATCGCAGCGAGCGCTCCTGCCCAACACACAATGATCTGGAAATCTCCCCCCAACACACCACAATTGTGTGTTTTGCCTGTAACAGCATCAAGCAAAATGACTCCTGGGTGTCAGCAGAAAACCTATGCATCGCAGCGACCGCTCCTGCCTAACGCACAAGGATATGGAAATCTCCCCCCGGTGAATGCTGCAATCAAGGAGAGCTGCACTGAAAGGGAGACAATGCTCGATGCTGTTTATCCACTTAGTACCTGAGGTCAGAATCTGTTCTCAGAATGAGCTATTCACCCAGAAAGAAAAAAAAAAAAAAAAAAAAAAAGCCTCCTCTGTGTCCTGCACAGGTACAGAGAAAGGATCTGACACTGGAAGTCCAACACCACACCAGACCCTCTTTGTCTGCCTAGGGCAGGGCTTCCCAACCCTTGGGACCCCAGATATTCTTGGACTTAAAACTCCCAGAAACCTTCCCAAAGAGTTCTGCTGCCCAAGATTTCTGGGATTTGTAGACCAAGAATACCCAAAAAGACCCCTGTGCACAGGTGGACATAACGAGGGTCCAGCCCCCGGGTGCCTTCCAATGGCTCCAGAGATGGCGTTTGGCGAGCCGCTCTTCAACCTCGCAGAGAGGCGCCACAGGCGGACATAATGAGGGTCCAGCCCCCTGAGTGCCTTCCAATGGCTCCGGAGATGGTGTTTGGCGAGCCGCTCTTCGACCTCGCAGAGAGGCGCGTCGTCCCGCCTCCTGCCAGGAATGGCTCACCGAACATGATCCTCACAGCCACTGGCTCCCACAGCTGTAGTGGATCAGTGAGTGGACCGTCCGGCCCCAGGGGGCTGAACCCTCGTTATGTCTACGTGTGCGGGAGGGGGGTATTTGTATTCGTATACGGATATCCCCATCTGTAGTTGAGAACCACTGGCTTAAATCAAGCAGGCAGCCTCAACGGGAACACCTCCTCAGCCCACGACAGCTGGAAAAACTGATCAGCAGCAAAGACTCAACTATGGGATCTTCCATAACACGTTACAGGTATCTAAGACATGCTTGAAAGATGAGTATCATCATCTTTTTGTGGAGTTCTATAGTTTTAGCAGGAATGCCCTTTCCAAAGAGTTGAGCATGTTTCTTAGTCCAGAAGGTAGGAGGCAAAAACCCGGATGGACTATTTGCCTGTGGAATCATCATGGTCACATCTGTTTTCGGCCAGGACTTTCCTGCCTACTGGCAGGCCAATGATACCTGAGGGACTATTTCCTCCTGTAACATAGAAGGGAGTAAGGAAGTAGGAAGCTGGCCTAAGCGACCAGGCTGAGTTCAACACCGGGAAGAACCTGTACCCCAACCTCTATCTGTACACCCAGGTGGCCCTCTTCAAGCAACAGACTTGGCTCTCAATTAAAAGGGTAAAAAGCTCCTTTCCACACCCACACCCAAAAAGCAACACACAGCAAAACAAATGGATCGTGAAAGGGTTGTAAAAAACATTTATGAACTTACTGTCAAGGGTTGGCTGCGTTCGAACACTGCCATGTCCATTCTGAAAGTCAAAGTTAAGAATGAGTGGCTTGCCTCCCCGTGAAGTGAATTCATCTGTGGTGCCTTCACCCGAGGGAGGCCAATGTCTGTCTGCTGGAAGCTAGCATTTGGTTTCTGATTTTTAGTAGCCTTAACAAGGGTATCATCTCCACTTCTTAACTTCGGATTGTGTGTACAGACAGCGTGACTTCTCCCCACTTTAGCTGGATCATAAAATCGCACAGGAAGCCTGAACAGAGGACACCATGCGCGCACAAAGTCCTCTCATTAGGCAGGGTGGCACAGCACCAGAAGCAGTACTTAGGCCTACCCTTACCCCCTTCCAGAAGGGCTCCACAGCTCAGGGAATGCTTCGTGCCCCATAGCTGGCCAAACTCCAATCCATGCCCCCGAGAGATCCTTCCTCAAGGCCAGGTCTAATGGATCATGGCCTGCAATGCCTGCAACTGAAGGAGTCCTCCCAAGAGCCAGTCATTCAGGCCTGACTGGCTCACTGGAGAACAGTATCAGTCAACGGATGCGCCAACCATATCCTCCAGAGAACCAACCCGTATGATGACTCAAAATCTTGAAAACCAGACAGAAGGCAGATGATGGCATTTCTCCTGCCACCAGCAACCTGGCTATCTGGACTGCCTCTCTGCAAAGCTCAAACGGTACCATCACAAACATCAGCTGGAGAGTAGGGCATTACATGGGGGGGAATCCATAGGAGATCCAAAGCAAACAAGTGCACTTTCGGACGAATTACATGGGGGGGGGGGAATCCATAGGAGATCTAAAGCAAACAAGTGCACTTTCGGACAAAATAAAGAATGTACGTTTACTGTATTTTTCCATGTATAAGACTATACTTTTGCCTAAAATTTTTAGACTAAAAATTAAGGGTTGTCTTATACATGGAAGTAAACCGAGGAGAAAACAAAAACAAGTGGGGGGGGGAAGCAGGGATCAAAGCGATCCTGCAGCGCTTTGATCCCTTTCCCCCTACACTTGCTAAGCCCCATTTAGATTTCTTAATTTTAGATTAGAAAAGGGGGGGGGCATCTTATACATGGGGGCGCCTTATAGACAGAAAAATTCAGTATATATTTATTATATATTTTCCACCAACCTAACGAAAGGTATGGGCGCCTGTCTCTTCTCGCACACCCACTCCCAGGACCTCTATCACGGTGTCATTTGCCCTGCTAAGGCTTTGGGGAAAGCGACTCACCGTGACAGCAGCCAGGGTTGATTCTGTTGGAGGCACGGAGCTTTGGTATGTGATTCTGCTATGCACAGAGGCCTGGTCGTAAGAAGAAGTGGCGTTTACAGGACTAGTGCTCTGGGAAGAGCAGCTCAGGCTGGCAGAAGTGATGGCAGGGGTGGTGGTATAGGTGGACTCCTGTGCTGTATTGGACATTGGCAAAGAGGTATTCAAAGGATCACTGAAAAAAGTAAAAGTCATTTATCGTCATGGTCAACGTCGATTCAAAGACTCCTGTGAAGTCCACCAGCTCCCAGAAAAGCTACAAGATGCCTCTGTATTCACTGTTCGCAGTTCTAAATATCGTCTTTTAAGGATGCTAACCACCCGTTGTATACGCCTTGTTTGCAACTTTAAATATTGTCTTACACATTATTGTGAGCCACCTCAGGTCCTTTTTCAAGGAGAAAGGAGGGGCAAAAATATTGTAAGTCAATAAATCAATATTCTGAGCTAGATGCACAACAAACGGTTTGAGTAGCTTAGACCAAAAGGGGTCGGGCGATATCATCCTGCCGATGAAAGACCAAGGGGGCTTCCAAGAAGGTTTGACTCCTGCCCAATGCAAAAGGAGGCTCCAGCCACGAGCTTACCCCCCCCCCAATGATTTCCAGATCAAAAAAATAACCCCCTTGAGTTCAATGGAGGTTTAAGGGAAGACATGTGTTTATAAAGTTATGAAGGGCAGGCTCAGAGCAAGTTGATTTTATCTGCTTCTCGCAGTATTAGGACTCAAGGACGCCAGCCAACTGGCAGCCATGAAGTTCCCGCCAGAAGGAAGCTAAGCTACATGCCATGAAAAGATTTCACTTACAGGCAGACTTCAAGGCCACAATATATGGCAATGGCTGCAAGGTTACATAGGCTGACAACCAGAGTTATTCATGGAGAAGAGGCCCGCTCAGGGTAATTAAACAGTGTTTCCAGGTACAGCAGTAGATGAAATCAAATACAGTGGGGTCTTGACTTGAGAACTTAATCCGTATTAGAAGGCGGTTCTCAAGTGAAAAAGTCTGTAAGTCAAGCCGTCTGTAAGTCAAGGGTCCACTGTACACAGTCAGGCTTGAGAGTTTTGTGGACTACATCTGCCAGTCTCAAGGAGCAGTTCCTTCTCAACTAGAGGATGCCCAAAAAATTAGTGGGACTTACTGATTTAACATTCAGCAATAGATTTACTGCATGCATTCCAACGGGGACAAGCAGCTGGATTAAGGTGCACAGAATTAGGGACCCAGATTATCCCTGTTAGGGAGTTTTTCCCTAATTTCCTATGTAGCTCTTTCCAGAAGCCAAGAAATAAGCTCCTCTGACTTTTAAAATCATGCTTCCACAGTTAGCCGAACTGACCTAAAATGCTGTTTTCAGTTTCGAGGTGGGTTATAAAACAAGAGCCCCTGGAAAAGGAGCATCAAATATCTTTCCGGGAACAAACTCAAACTAAGTGAGATCCAGGCCACAGGACAGAAGCGCGATTAGTGTTACCTACTTTACGGTCTTTGGGTACAAGATGCTGTTGGTTGCCTGGCTGTTGCTTTCGTAGCTGGCAGCGGATCCAAACTCTGAAAGAGGCGGCTCCAATCCAAACTCAAGAGCTCCAAACTGCACATTTAACCCTGACATGTCTGCAGACCCGGGCATCTCCACCGCAGAGGAAGGGATCTGGAAGAAGACAGTGTGCCGTCACCCAAGACATTGGCTCCACAAGAAATCTCTTCTGCTGCACCCATGTTGTTTTGCCAAGGGAGAAGCACCACCTCTTCAGTCTCACGTTTATTTAAGACAGGGTGGACAAAAGGCAGGCGGTGGGTGCATTCAGCCACACACCCAGAAGCCCAAACACGTTTCCCCCCCACACACACATGCCTCTGGGCTCTCAAGAAGTCCCCTTAAGCCCTCTGGTGGTACGGAAAGGCAAATGTTGCCGTGTTCCGGGAACACACCACATCTGTGCCCCTACGCCAAATTTTATTAATTTTGCTTTTGAAGTCTTGTTGGTCATGATAGGGTGTGAAAGAAAACTTTCTGAGGTTTTTTTTTTAAGCCTTCCAAAGAGCAGAATATTTGGGAGTGGAAAGTGGGAAACCATGTGGTTCAAGGCCGGGCATGGGTGACCCCTTAGGGCTCTGGAAGATGCCCACACCTTATTTTAAGACACTGATATCCTGCCTTCAAAACAGCACTCCAAAGATGCTAAGAAAAACGAAAAGCCTAACCCAATTCGATACAAAACCAACAACTCCCCTCGCTTCTATTAAAAAAAAGAGAGAAACCTTCAATGAAGAAAACGAGAGCAGCCGCTAAAAGCAGAACAATGACAACTGGTAGACAGAATGAAGTAACATATTGTCCATTAAAAGCCTGGGGATGTAGTTACGTCTTGGCACCTAAAAACTGGGGCACGGTGGGTGTAAAAGAGTTCCACAGCCAGGGCTTCATTTCGGAGGAGTAGAGGCGGGCATGAACTTCATTTCAGAGGTTCGTGCCAGTTCGTACACATGGCACATCTTTAACCCTTGCTTCCCCACTCTCCAGTGCTATAAAACACCAGGACCAACACAGCTTCAGAAAAAACCTATGTGCCTCCATGCTGTTAGCCCCACTGGTTGAAATGAGTTGCCAGACAGTGGGTGTACAGCCACTGAGGCTCCGACGTCTTCTTTTGAGGAAGGAAGGACCCACATGGGTAGGTCATGATACTCACCTTGCTCAGGATCCTGTTGCTGGGCTCAATTACAGTTGGACCCTTTAATTCCCAGCCTGTCGTCTAAACAACGGCAACATAGAGGCTGAGGAATTCCACAGTGATTACAGAAGTGTTGACCTAACATTAAGAAGTTGATTCAACAGGTCTACTCTTAGGTGGGACTGGTGGAAGGATACAGAACCCTGCCCCTTACGAAGTTCCCTGAACTGGTACAAGTTGTGCACCAACTTATCTGGCTGAATGCTAAATGGCTTCAATCGTTATGTACGAAGGTGCTTTTATGCATCACAGAAGGGACAAACAGCATCCACCGATATGCAGTGACATTTCTGTGTGGTCTAATTAGCCATCTGTGTAGCTTGAAACTGAATCAGTTTGAGCAGCACACACTTTGCAGTTTACTGTGGCCAAATCTGGGAATTCTTAAGACATCCAGGAGACTGTAGCATGATGCTTTTCCAGCAACGCTGTACACAAAGCTGGCTAAAGGTAAGCTGTAAATGGTGCTTATGGCAATAGGCGTACTGTATGCATTAAGTTACTTTCTGGCTGAACTATTCTGACTCCCACTGTCTGGCAGCCAATGAAGACTATTCACAGGAGAACAGGGCTTCCTTATATCTGTAACCAAGTCCTTCCCTGCTTTAGAGTAGACCTTTGGTCTAGATGGGCGGAATAAAAATCCAGTAAGTAAATATGTTCCACTCATGGAAAAGGCTTCAGGAGTTAACCTAGAGACAAAATCTGGAGCTGGAGTCCCGAAGGCAGCACGTGTCGTTCTGCCAACTCCTGCGACGTTGCTGGAACCAATCGTATTGGCTCTTGCCTTTCCATTGGACCATTTCAGCAATGTGGAGAGGGGGGATCTGCTGCTTGGGTAACAGCTTATCCTCCATATTATTTTACCCAGGCTTCATGCTCTGGAGAGGACACTCCTTGATTCAGAGCATGTTACCATAGTCTCTCTAGACTGAAGGATGCCTATGTAAGTAAATAAATACATTGCTGTTTCTTTCCAGGCAAAGCATGAGCGCTAGAACCAAAATGGCCCCTTGTCCTCTCTCATAAGCCTACCTCTTGTTTTTGAGATTTTGAGATGCTGCAAAATGTGTTGTGTTAGAGACAGAGTAGAGATGGGCATAACCTTCTGTTAGCAAGCAGTCATTCCTGCCTAAATCAACAGCTACCTTGCTGTTCATTTTACTCAATTCATCGCCGTGCACGGGGGGATTCTCCCTCCAGCTGACAGTCTTTGACCTCCAGGCCACCAACCTAACAATCTCAGGATGGGTCCCTGCCACATAACCCACCTTAGACGCCGGGGGTATCCTTCGTTTCGGCAGCTTGATCTGTTTCTGTTGCACTTGATGCGGGGAGGCCACCTGGTTCTCTGCAGACAAGCTCGGGAGGTGCAGCATTTTGCTGACCGCTATGGAGTTGTCCACTGGCGACGGCTCTCGGGCTTTTTGCTGAGTGAAGGACTCTAGTCCAGGAGGTGGGGCAGGTGCGATGCACGGTTGCTGCTGCTGCTGTTGCTGCTGCTGCCGCTGCGTCAGCTGACTCAGGACTGGGGATGGCTCAGGTTGAGATTTGAAGTCTAGGAAAACCGTTAGCAAACAAGGCGAGGATGATGCAGGAGAAACGGAAGGACACTATCCCACCCTTGACACAGCCGGGAAAGGTTAATTCTTTCTGGATTACGCAAGAAGCGGTTTTAGAGTGAATGAGAAAAGCAGCCCACGTATTCCAGTATTTGCCAACTCTACCTGGCAGCAAGGGTGCCCCCGGGTTTCCTACACTAACGAGGCGTGATCCAGTCTTAGCTTCCAAAATCAATGAAGACCAAACATGTGCAAGGTAACTCCCTTAGCCATCATGACTATCCTAAGTTTCTACCCACTGTTTCCAGCGCTGCCTTAGCAAATCCCATTATGCAGCAGCGCAGGTGTCGTTCCCTCCTCCCCCCCACCCCCAGTTTTCCACTTGTTTCCATGATAGGAGTCACTGGACACTTACCAAACTGACTGAGAATAGAAGGCTGTGAAATTGAAGGCTTTCCTTCCCATGATGATGATGCCGTTGTGGAAACAGGGGAGTTTGTAGTGAGAGAACCTTGTGAAGTGAACTGGCTCAAACTTGGGGATTTCAACTGCTCTAAGATCGGAGATCCAGTGGAGTTGGCCAGTTTCGTAGACCCAAGCTCTCCAAATCCAGAACAAAGGACTGAAGACTAGGCGGAAGAAAGGGGGGGGGGACACAGCTGATTAGATTACACACAGACTACACTTCATACTGATTACAGTGACACATACTTCAAACGGGTTTCAATTAAAATTGCGTATCAAAAATAATTCTACTGGGCACCACTTCTGAAAGGGTATTTTATTCCCGGAAAAGAAGAATGAGGAACGCCTTACAGAAAATGTTTTGTCATCTGTTTTTAATTTTGAAAATACTTTAAAATAATAAATGTTTGACAATGATACGACATGATTTCCCGGGAGCGTATTTTTAAAACTTAGAAATTACCTAACAATGGAACACAACAGTCCAAATTACATACGCATTTTGTAAGTGCTGAGTCCTCTCTACTTGGAAAACCCTGAAAAGGGTTGCCATAAGTGTTCAATGTTGTAGCCAAAACAGCGAAGCATTCTGGTGTGTTCTAAGGTCTAAGTTCTCTCGGATGCTTCAAGGAGTAGAACAGATTTTTTAAAAATAAAATATTATATATATGTTTAAACATTCTAAAGGGATGGCTGGGGGGGGGGCCTTAAGGCCACAGAGAGACCCCCGAAGCGCTCAGGTTTCCTGTTTCCCTGCTTTATTTGGAGGAAACGCAATGATTCCCCACCCATCAAGTGCCTTATACTTCTGTAGACTATTTTTAAAATTTGTTTGTTTGTTTATTTACCGTATTTTTCACACCATAAGAATGTTTAAACATTCTAAAGGGATGGCTGGGGGGCCTTAAGGCCACAGAGAGACCCCTGAGGTGCTCAGGTTTCCTGTTCCCCTGCTTTATTTTGAGGAAACGCAATGATTCCCCACCTGTAGACTATTTTTTTTAATTTGTTTGTTTGTTTATTTATTTATTCAATTTATATCCCGCCCATCTGGTATATTCTACCACTCTGGGCGGCTATTCTACCACTATGGCAACACCTCTTTTATTCCCTCTAAATTTCACTCACAACAGTATCCTTTCACATGCTGTTTTGTTCTTAGGTGGCCCTCAGTCTCTACAACATGACACCACCAGGGCTACACCACACTCCTTCACTCCTTATCTTCAAGAAACAGGTGAAAATGGAAAGCTGCCTTTAACAACTGACTCTGCTGGATGCAGTTAAATTGTATGAAGGTTAGATTTTACAAGGTTATTTATATTTATGATGGAATTACTGTTGTGTATCACCATACAGCTTCTTATGTGCTCTCTTGAGTGTTTTAAGTTTTGACCTGAAAACTGTCCAGAGTTGTGCCAAGTCAAATCCAAACCCCAAATCAAATTCAAACCAAATCATAGATAGGTAAGTCAGAGTTCTGATTAAAGCTGTTTTGAATATGGTAAAATATTTTTCATTTATTGGAAGCCAGTATCTGTCCCTACCAGCAAAGCAATTCTTATAAGGCCAGAAGACTCAGGAATACTTGATTTCCACATGGAGCAGTCGGATATGTGCTTGGAAAGATCACATCACAGTCATCTGGCCTGGAACTGCTCTGCACTCCATGAACAAAACTAGGTCCTTTCAGAAGGGGGTGAAAAGATGGCAAGGGAACGTTTTGGGAAGGCAAAGACTGGCTTCCCATAGAGGACTACAAACACAGAGGTCAGTCTTGGCCAGGAGAGGCTCCACTCTACATCGTATTGCACAGCCACTTAATTAACCTTCTGCCAACATCAAGGGAAGACTGCAAAGGAATTCCATGCACAAAGAAGAAGGCTCAGTATTTTTTATCAAGCCAAAGGGCAACGTTACCCGGCTCTGGGGAGAATAGGAGTTCACGGCACTTGCATTACTGGCTCCCAAGGCCATCTGAGAGGAGTTGTGCTGGGAATTCGTGAAGACCAAAGCTTGCCCAAAGTTCTGCTGCTTGGATGCCTCGAAGGAGTTCCCCTCCGTTTCTTGGCCAGAAGTCACCGGCTTTTGAAGCAGGGCAACCAGGTCGATGCTAAGTTGGAGCACAAGAGTGATGAAAGGTCAAGACAAAAACAAAGGAAACAGGGAGTTGGACAAATGGGGAAATCCCAAATGGATTCAGGAGCTTCAACTCACACTGTAGAACCAGGCAATGCACACACCCCCACAAAGGTGGCTGCCCCCTCTTGTGACAGCCCCAAAAGAGATTCCAGACACTGGGAATTCTTCCGGACATTTCACTTTACCAGCTCTGAAGCGCGCGCGCGCACACACACACACGCGCACACGCGTGCACACACACACAAATGTGGGGTCCAGGTAAGTCACTCTTTTATAAAGGTGAAAGCCTTGTTAGGAAACATATGGTGATCAGTGATTCTACTTGGCATGTTTTGGGAGTCAAAAACATTACGGCCCTGAGGCCTGCAATCATGCACACACCAGAACTCTCACACAGATCCTAGCTAGCCTCTTTCTCCTCATCTGGAAATCCTCCTTCCTTTTCGATCATCGCTGGGGGAGGAAAATGCAAGCACAGCTTATCCATTCGTCCCTCCAAAGAGCAGCAGGAGGAGGAACGGGGTCTGTCTGAAAGCGGTTGAGGGCATGAAAAGAGGTACTGTACGTTTGGGCACCTTTGGAGTAAAATCAAGCTAAGCTACAGGTCAGGTTTGCAAACTCCAGTAGTGCAAAACCACAATACGGCCACCTCTTTAATAATGCTATTATTCCAAAATATGAAAAGACGAAGTCAGTCCTGGAAGGTGAGTGAGCCATCTCTCTCTCTTCTAGGCATGTTCTTATCTTTCTTCCAGAACTGAGTTCTTCAGATGATTTAAAAAGCATTATCTCGGGCACACAGGAGAGAAAAGAAACTAAAGGCCACCAAGACTGGGAGAAAGAAGAGGCTTACAGATACCAATACATAACAGCCACGAGGAAGAGATAGGGAGACCCTCCCTGCCCTTGATCCTTTCGCTTCAATGCTGTCCCCCACCTGTCGGGCATATATTCATCATGGTAGTTTCTCAGTTGCACACCCACACAAAGAGAGTTCTACTCCTCTTGTAAGTTAGTCCCCCAAAATTTCTGCTCTACATGGGTTGGTTGTGTTTTTTTTTTTCACTCATAAGAGGAAAGGATGGAGGATGCTGAAGGATGTCTACTGCCAACTTTTAGGGCAAGTAAAAAGCAACACAACAGAAAACTCTGAAGGTTAGAATGTAGTGCTCTCTGCTTCTTCCACCCCCCCTCTTGGTCTCCACAGTGTTTATGTGCTACCAAGTCACTGGTGCCTTAAAACAACAAAACGAATTAACCACCTCTAAACAGTCCTATTCGTGACGGTGCCGCCCAGGCCTTGCAAACTCAAGGCAGTGGCTTCCTCTGCTGAGTCAATTCATCTCCTGTTCAGCTTTCCTCTTTTCCTACGGCCTTCTACTTCCTTGGGTTTGTCTTGGGTGGTTTGTCAATGGGACGGAGCAGATGAAAGCACCCCACCAACGATCCCATTTATGAATATCAGCACAGACGCAGTGATCCCAGCTGCTTTGGGGTCGTGACAGGAAGGAAAGTAAACCCTTTCCCAAGAAATGGAATTCCTTCCCAGCACCACTAACACCAACGACAGGAGAAGGGTGAGGTTTTTTTTTCCTCTACAGCCCAGAAAATGCTGGATTCTGGAGAAAAAGCAGCCGGGTGATTGTGTGTGGGAAGAAGCACAAAGAGCCACAGGTTGCCCATCTCTGGCTTGTAGCCTGCTACACGACTGTATGAGACCGTACACGCAAACCACATATAGAGAGTGGGCCAGCTGCATTCCTCAGTCCTTCTCCGCAAACTACGAGACCAATTTGCTCCAGAACGGAACCCTCGCTTGTTGACTTCCACCTTTTACACCACGGCAACACCTGTTCTTATGACGGGCTCTCATTTAATTCGCCTGCAGGTTAAAAGGCTGGCAGGAAGCCACTCCACGGCATCTCCCAGGGTCTAAATCCTACTCTCAGACCCAACAGAGCCCCTTGCTGAATGGTAAACCAACACCTGCAAACGCACAATGGCACACTCTACGGGCTAGGTTGTGAGACCCCCTTCTCCAAATGCAGCATAAGGAAGCAGAGAGGGCCATACCTTTGACCGGCGGCAACATGATTCTCGGCTGGAGCAGACGAAGCAGTGAAGACCTTGGTTTCCGAAAGCTTCAAAGAAGGAGAGAAACGAGGCGTCAGTCGTTTTAAGAACTATTCTTTTGAAGGAAAAAAAATAAGGAGAAATACAGTGGACCCTCTACTTAAGGAATTAATCTGTATTGGAATGGTGGCTGCAAGTCGATAGGTTGTGAGACCCCCTTCTCCAAATGCAGCATAAGGAAGCAGAGCGGGCCGTACCTTTGACCGGCGGCAACATGATTCTCGGCTGGAGCAGACGAAGCAGTGAAGACCTTGGTTTCCGAAAGCTTCAAAGAAGGAGAGAAACGAGGCGTCAGTTGTTTTAAGAACTATTCTTTCAAAGGAAAAAAAATGAGAAATACAAGAAATGTCATGCTGAAGGAGACTGAACGGTCTCGTAATGAAGCCCAATTATCTTGCCTCCATCTACAGCCACTAAAAAAAAAAAAAATGCTATCACGAGATCAGCAGTGCTGTGAAGCAGAGGTTCTCCTGACTGAGGGTTAGTCAGCCCCACACTTCCCCAGAACACATACAGATGGGAGGGCCCTGAGGAGCGCATGAAAGATCGCCTGGAAAACAAGCAACAGCCTTGGAAGTAAAAACTCATATATATTCAAAAATCAAGAAAAATCACATTTAAAAGGCCTCTTAGTTAAGGCCTCTCCGTGAATATGGCATCCACTTACTCATTAAAATACATATAAGAGCAAAGGGAGGGGGAATATGTCTGATTGGCATCTAGACTGCATTTGTTTTGGTGCAAAAATTAAAACCTGTCTGTTCAACTCGAGCATTTTGCCCTTAGCGAGATCGTGATTTGGGCTAAAATGTTGGCACATATTTCGATGGTTTGAATGGAATTCTATTGGTTTTATCCCATTCTCAGTTCAGCGGGTACAGGACAGGCTGGCAATGCTTTGATCGATTGATACATAAATAAATAGACCTGTTAGGTGGGTAATAGCTACAGAAGGAGTGATGCATATCCATGTTTTCCCCTGCATCAAGGCTATGCGGCCACAGATGGAAGAAGATCTGGCGCCCTGGAAGCCCAGCTTGGAGGTTACAGAGAGGCTCGATGCTGAGATGAAACGGTTGGTTGCTTCCACTAAAGTCCAGCACGACTTACTTTGGACTTCAGTTGTCAGCCTCTCCCAGTGACTTCAGGGAGGGACTGAAGTGCTTTTAAAATTCGAAGAGGCCATGAATGTGACCCTAACACCTTCTATATGCAAACGAGGTGTTCTTCTAGTCGCTTCTACCTCAGTAGGGAAACACCATAAATCCCGCACAAGAGCTACACTAAAACTTCTTCAAAACTTTAAGAGAGTACACAGGCTACCAAAAGAAGCACCATCCAGGCATAAGCTGGCCATACCCAAGGGAAACCTGCACCTCTTGAGAAAACTCTCCATATTGTTCTCCAAGGGAGAGCACAACAAACAAATGGAAGGCTCTGGGATATGCATATTGAGGCCACAACCCCGATCGCTGGGCGCTACAAAAATGTATGTCTTCTCACCAAACCAAATACTATTAACAGGCTTTCTAGCTTGCATAATTCTGCATCACCAGGTTCTTACTGTTCTGCGCTTCACTCTAGGGCTACAAGAGCCTGACACGGAGTCGACCAGGAGGTCAAGTAAAGACAACAGGCGGTCAGGGGCTATTCCTTAAGACAGGTGTGTCAAAGAGAAAGGGTCAAGAAGCAGCCGGTTTTCAAACCCTGAATGAGGAGGCTCCTCTTTTATTTCAAGGAGCCTTGTGACACCTGCACACATCCCAGAATGTCTCCTTTCCAAAGGGAGATGACATCTCATGAGCTGCATCAATGGCAAGGCAGGGGAGGGCAGGGGTACGGAGCACCGCCAATCCTTGCATTAAGACTTTGGAAGAGCCCCCTGGCGTGCCCAAAGGACCAGCAACTGGCCTGTATCACGGATGTGTGTTAACTGTGCAGCACTGTGAAATGTGTCACAGTATGCGCCTAAAAGAGGAGGGTGCACTGGAAAGGAAGGTCAGACTTCCGGGGGGGGGGCGGCCTCCCTGCAGCCCAGAGCGGAGTCTCCAGAAACAGTGATGCTGGGGCCACTGCTTGGAGAGCCCCCGGCTTGGAACCCTGGCATTCACCAGATGACCTGACGGGACTAGCAGCTGAAACGTTTCCTGTTACACGGAGACCACTGCTATCTGGGGCTTCTGGGAAGCCATTTAATCCGCTTCTGGGTAGCTATATGCAAGAGCCCAATCCCGTCATGACAGCAAACAACGACAAAATCCCTCGCTGGCTGGCTGGCTGGCTGGCAAGCGCCTGGAAACAAACAGCTGCTCGCGAGCTGCCGTTGCCAGTTGTTTCGCAAAGGCTTCACTCACGGCTGCCTCGAACCTCTCTTGGCCAGGGTCATCTGTCCGGAAGGAACCTGGCTTAGCCGTTCATCACACGTATAAGGTGCTTTATAACAGGGGAGGAAGGCTGTGTGTCTTCAACTCCAGTTGCCCCTGAATATTAAGGGCCCAGAATAGGCAGAGCAGAGGCTTCTGGCTTTCCTCCCTTGCTTGTGATTTTTTTCCCTTGCTGGAAACAGATGGACTGCAGACAGATTACTGCATTTTAAAAATAATACAACAAGTATTTCCATGCTGTAAATACCTGGGATGGGGCCAGAACAGTCATGTTAGGGCTACTGCAGCAAAAACAACAGAGCGTCTTCTGGCCTTGGAAAAGCTAAACAGTTTTATTGGACACGAGCTTTCACGGACGGTAGCCCAGTTCATCAGACGCACTAAACAGTTTTATTGGACACGAGCTTTCATAGACGGTAGCCCAGTTCATCAGACGCAGGACGGAGAAGGTCTTAATCCAGAAAAGCGAAATAAAACCAATTACCCTTTCAAATGCCAGACTCCTTGCTCTCCTTCTGTGGCTGAGCTGGGATTGGAAGCCTGCTCTCCAGACTCCTTCTCTGTCACTCTATCCAATACACCACGCTGGGAATCCCATTCTTACTGTAGGCAGCAACATATATACATGGAGCTCTGAAAAGGACTCAGGAGGCACCGCCTTGTATGTAGAGGCCAAGAACAGTACTCGCAATTTGCAAAACTGTTTCTTCACCAGAAAGAACTCCATCGAAGGCAGGATACTATTCAAGTGCACCCTTTCAAAGAATTTTTAACACACCCAGACTAGGTAACATAGGCAACAGTCTGCACGGTGATTATTATTTTAAAATGAATGCTTGAACAACATTCCAAGAGTAAAGTGAAGGAAAGGCCAGCAATGTTAAAAGGGGCATGTCAGAATCTGGTAAGAGAATCTGCTCAGCAGGAAATGACCATCACTGATCACAACATGGACCCAAAGATTCCCCTAGAGCCGATATCTTACATCTTCATTCCATTCTTCAGCTGTCCATTCTTCTATCGAGTTCTTCCACGCTCCTGTAACAATGAAAGAAAAGAGACATGTTATCCACCCACAGATCCTGATGCGGTATCTCTGTTTCTAACAGCTTCATTCCTAACACGAGAGACATGTGGCTTCTTAAAGGAAAAGGACCAAAGCAGAAGATTCAAGGCAGTAGGGCAAACTGGTTTCTTTCACTTTGCTCGTTTTTTTTGTTTGTTTGTTTGTTTGTTTGTTTTGACTGATCTTACTGTTCACAGTCAACCCTGAGCAAAAAGCAGGAATGTTTCAGGGACAAAAGAGAAGTCCACACTGCTCCCCATAGTCAACAGCAGCCTGAAAAATGGACAGTGACACTGCACCATGATAAATACTCATGTTCTCCAGGATATGCAACAATTCCTTCCACAACACCAGTTAAGGATCCCTTGGCCATCATGAAGGCCAGAAACTTAAGGATGACTCTAAACTAGAGAGGGGCATAAACTGCCCACGTGGCAGTTCGTGGCTGTTCGTTTTTAAGTCGAGCACCCCCATACCCACAGGAGCCTTTGTTTTATTACAAACCTCCTTTCCAAAATTGTACTGATTGTTGCTTAGAGGCTTTCCCCTTTCCTTTCACTAATACAAATTCAATAAATCTACCCCAAATAGCATTAAAAATATTTAAACTTATTTCCCCTCTTTTCATCTTTAAGTTCAGTCATCAATTTATCATTTAACGCAATGTCCCATATTTCATTATAGCAGTCTTCTAGTTTAATATCATTTTTATACTCATGTTCTCCAGGATATGCAACAATTCCTTCCACAACACCAGTTAAGGATCCCTTGGCCATCATGAAGGCCAGAAACTTAAGGATGACTCTAAACTAGAGAGGGGCATAAACTGCCCACGTGGCAGTTCGTGGCTGTTCGTTTTTAAGTCGAGCACCCCCATACCCACAGGAGCCTTTGTTTTATTACAAACCTCCTTTCCAAAATTGTACTGATTGTTGCTTAGAGGCTTTCCCCTTTCCTTTCACTAATACAAATTCAATAAATCTACCCCAAATAGCATTAAAAATATTTAAACTTATTTCCCCTCTTTTCATCTTTAAGTTCAGTCATCAATTTATCATTTAACGCAATGTCCCATATTTCATTATAGCAGTCTTCTAGTTTAATATCATTTTTATCTCTCCAGAATCTAGCTATTAATATTCTGGCACTTGTCATAAGATTAGAAATCAATTCCTTTGAGCAATAATCAAGTTCCACCTTACCAAAAATTGACAGCAAAGCAATTTTAGAATTAAGTTTGATATCTTTTCCAAATCTATCACATATTTCCTTAAAAATCAATTTTCAAAATTTCTGAACCAATTTACTCTCCCACCACATATGACAGTATGTGCCAATTTCCTCATCACATTTCCAACAGGCCTTAGAATAATCTGAATCTATTATCTTCAATTTCACTGGAGTCATGTACCACCTTAAACTAATTTTTTTTTTATTCCTTTATTCTTACTGACAACACATGAGTGAAATGTCTGTCTGAAAAACGAAGCGGCAGAAACCACAGAACGCCATTTCGTGCCCATATGTACATTAAACCTTCTCAGGACTTCACTTGCAGACCGCAGATTTATAGCTTAGGAAGCGGGCTGAATCCACTAAAGTAGAGCGACCACAACACCTCCACACTGGCAGTCCTGCAACCTGGCATTCTTCCGTGGCCTGACAAACCGCATACACTCACATACGTAGAAATACAAATCCTTGCATATTCATTTCAGTTGTGAATAATCATTAGTTATTTTCTAATCACACAAGGATCTCCTGCATATCGTCCCTGCCACATACCACAAAATATCCAACAGGAATATGATTTGCTGTCAGCAAAACATCTATGTTTTCCATTCTAATTCACACTGGTTGACAGACCTGTTTCATTGTAAGGGTAAACACACTGTTTAAATACTTCAAGGGAAATTCAGAGTATAAAGGTGCTAGGGTAGGTTCTGGAAAATGCAACCTGCACACATAATTCCCACAATATTGCCTCTAGGTTGTTTATTTTTCTTTTTTCTAAAGCTTCCTGGCACACAAGCCCAGGAGCCCACAAAACCACACTTCTCAGGATACACTTTCCCAAAATTCTGCTAAGACCCATTTCTGGTGAGTTTTTAATTCCAATTTTGTGGCACTACCGCACCTGTACCATCATCTCCATCATTCTGTCCAGACTCCCAGGAGTCTTGTTTCCTTCCAAAGCCATCCGTGGCAGAAGATTCTGTATAATCTGCAGGGTTAAATGTCCTACGAATAAAAAATAAAAGTTGAGAAACTCCGAAATCTAAAAAAAACTCTAAAAACTTAAACTGAGCCTATAGAACTGTCTCAGAAGGCGGGCGTCTTGACCTAGGGAAGCTCAGTGGGTTTTTCAACCTCAGGTGTCTTTGTTTTGACATGTGGAAATGTAAGCTCTTCCACAGATAGATAGAATGGGAAACTTGCACACTGACAAATTTAAAAAAGAAAGCTCTTCCATTGACAGGATTGGCAAAATGCTGATGGTGCAGAACAGGACACACAATTTTTTAATCCAGCTATTTCAGTAAGATGGCTCTTACTCGTAAGACAGAATGGGACACACCATGTATAATTTAACAGAGTTTTCATTTTGAAGGATGTCAGACAACAGGTGTGGAAATTTTGGGGGGAAAATAGAGGATGCCAGACAAAACATCAATTAGAGAGATCAACCAACTGCCTCTCTATGTGTGTGTTTTCTAGAACAAAGCATGCTTTAGCAAACCATCAATTAAAAATATATTTGCTATTAACTACTGCGTAACAACTCTCTGGCATGTATGTCAATGCTGGTTTCTGCTAAATAAGAGGTCATTTCAGGAGTGTAGAGGTACTTCCAATTTTGGCTCAGGGCAAGACACAGGGGAATATTAAACAGATTCTCCATGATTCAGAGCACCATACCACCAAGAGGGGAAATATTCTGAGCACAGGACTGGATGTCAAGTAGACTGATGGTTGTCTCTCCTTTAAGATTGACGTTGGCTTGCTTAGGGGTGGGATTACAGCTGGCTCAACGCGGGATTGACAAGTGATACCTGAGTGGGGAGGGGTGGGGAAAACAGACATTCATTGATGCTGGTGCCAGCGATATCCCCTCCTGGAAGAAGCCCCAGCGTACTCCTTTCATGCCCTCTACAGAGCTCAATCTGGATTCCTGCAAGGCAGCTGGCTCTGAAAGGCTCTCAGAAGCTCAAGCTAGTTTAGGAGGCACAGCCAGCTAGTGTTAACAGGATTTAATTTCCAAAAAACTGGCACCACTAGGATAATTTTAGAGCAGTAGCAATTTAAAGACATAAAACCCTATCCCACAGCTCCCCCACAACGAAAGAGAACCCAAGAGAACATGAAGGTCCTTCAGGGGAAAGGATCAGAACTTTTTAATTTCTAAAAAAAAACTGCTGCAGCTGGTGATGTCATCAGCCTTTCAGGCTGTAAGATGTGCTACTAGATTTCAACCAGTTAACACGAAAGCCAGCAATAGTGCCATCATAAAAATATTAAAGTCATTTTAGATGTATGTTTTGTATTTTTACTAATTTGAAGTGTGTATAGTCAAGCCAGTTGCATAGTGAGTCAAAGGTGATGGATGCAATAACCCAAACAGCAGCAACACTGCTCTGAACATCCAGATCCACATCTGGGGATGTTATTTATATATACAGAGTCTATGCATAGTCAAGGTTCCTTCCTGATTTCAGTACCTAAAGAAGTCAGGGAATGAGGGAGCCGTTTAAACAGGCCATCGATTTGACACTCCTGGTCTTCTTAAGGGGAACATCTGCTTGTGTCTGAGAACTGTCACTTAGTCTGATAGGGCTCATATTGCCATGTCTGTGTGCACCAAGGCTGGCAAACGTGAACTGCGCAGAAAAGGAGTGTTGCAAGCGAACGCACAAATAATTTGACACTGCCAGATGGCGCCAAAAAGTGGCCCATCCACTACGGCCAGCAGAGGATGTAATTTCAGAAACCCTCAACTACAGTGTAGCTGGAATAAATGAACTTAAGTCGTCCTTTTAACTCTTGATCTCCCCTCGTCCTGTCTTTCTCCTGCCTGCTGCTTTAAGACAATAAAGGCAGGCTCATACAAGGCTGGGTTGTGAAGTCTGAGAGCAACTCGATGGCAGAAGAAAAACAAAAATGTGAAGCACCCTGAAATCTCTGGCTCTCACCATAGCTTCAGTTTTCATGGACTACTGTCCGCTTCATTAGATGCACAGTGACTCGACAGCTGACATAATAGTCACAATGAGTCATCATTTTCATTCCCAAGTGCAAAAACAAAGGTTCCTGAATGCCCAACAGTTGCTAAAAACACTTCTGGGCGGAGGTGGGTAGCTGCCATCCCTTCTCAGGTAGCTGCTTTTTGGATCTGACAGATTAATTGATCTGGATGTCAGCTCCTTAACCGTTTCTTCTTAACATTTCTTAATGTAAGGCACATCAGTGAATCGTGACTAGAATATTTATAATCAAGATAATTTTATACACAGTCTGTGGGTTTCATCCAACTTTTTTGCTGCTGTGCTTTGGCTTGCGCTAGAATGGACAACTTGGTAGTGGGGAAGCAGATATTAAATTGGCCAAATTGGAAAGGGGCCAAAGTGGCTAACTAGCTTTTAAAATTCTTATTTTTAAAAGTAAATATTGCTAAATATATGACATGATTTATTCACTCATTATATAAGAAAATGCTTCTTTAATTTCTTTCAATAAAATAAATAAATGTCTAGGCACCTGTACTACCCTTTCTCTGAAAAGCAAAATCATTCCTTTGGGTTAAAGCATGAGTAGGTGGGAAAAACCATAAACATTATATTTTATTTCTGTATGTTTGTTATGATTCAGAAGACTGATGCTTCAGTCTTCTGAATCATGTTAAAACATACTCAGTCATCCTTCACTCTGGGGCGTATGTTTGTTATGATTCAGAAGACTGATGTTTCAGTCTCCTGAATCATGCTAAAACATACTCAATCATCCTTCACTCTGGGATGACTGAGAACAGAATCCGCCCCTCCTCTGTATGGCAATCTTTCAAGTCTTTGAAGAGTGCTCTCCTATCTTCACTCAGTCTTCTTTTCTCAAGGCTAAACAGGCCCAGCTCATTCTGCCTTTCCTGAATTCTTGTCTTGTGTTTATACTGCAAGAAACTAACTAGTTGTTTGAGATTATTTTATTTTTATTTTATTTATTTTATCGGTCCCTCTGTCATTGCACATTTTTTTCTTGAACTACTCAGGAGAGTTAGCCTTAGCACACCGGAATGGAGGTAAATTCATTTCGCTCAGACTTTACGTTTTACTGATGATGACCTTTTTTATCAAGCTTCCCGTCCCTGGGATGAAAGCTATGCTGTGCCGACAGGTTGTTCACAGTTCCAGCTCACAGATTAACATTCCACCAAGCAAACTCTGAAAAACCTACCCCATGCCTTGGGCTGAAAACCTCCCTGTTCCTCTTCCTCTGCCACGTCCAAATCCTAGAGGAAAGTGGGAGGAAAGCCTCATTTAAAGATAGAGCATGGGCAGAAAAACCCTGTACATGCAATTCCTGGTTTCCAGAAGAGAAGTCTTCCTGAGTTAGAAAGATTTAGCAAATGCCATTCACCCAGTCACTCTACCCTTTCATAAGGAACATAACACAAAATGAATAAGTAAAACCAGGTTAACAATTCTAGGAAGACTCTTATTCGCTCTCTGCTTCTTTTGCAACTATTAAGAAGAGGGGGAAACCATGGCTGGACCACCCCAGTTACAAAGATTAAAAGTAGAGATGCGGGGGTATTCGAATACGAATACTCCTGCACAGGTGGGCATAACGAGGGTCCAGCCCCCTGGGGCCGGACGGTCCACTCACCGATCCGCTGCTGCCACGGGCTCCGCGCTCCCTTCCTAGCGCTCTGGAGCTCGTGGTTGATTAGGCACTCTTGGCAGGAGGCGGGACGACGAGCATTCATGCCAGGTTGAAGAATGGCTCACTGACCGAGCACTCTGGAGAGATAGGAAGGGAGCGCGGAGGTGTGTGGACAGTCTGGCCCCAAGGAGCAGGACCCTCGTTATGTCTACCTGTGCAGGGGTACTTGTATACAAATGCAAATACCTCCATCTCTAATTAAAACACATGCAAAAGCAACTGCATTGTGACACCACTATGAGAAGCGAATCTGGTTCATTAGGAGCCTTCATGGATTACATAAACAGACCCAAAAGTCTGGGTCACAGGCTTACACTCTGGGCACACGGTGTGCCGATGGGAACATCCAACTGAAACAAGATACGGAAGATGGAAACGGCAGATTGCTAACACCTGGGAATGAATTCCCAAGGTGATGACAGCATCAAAACAGGCAGTCAACATTCGAGGTGTTGATTACATTAACATCCTGGCAGTCAGTTGATGCAAATGTTCTTAAGCAGCAGCTGGATTGATGGTTGCTGCGAGTTTTCCGAGCTATTTGGCTGTGTTCTTACGGTGTTCTTACCTTAAGAACATGGCCAAACAGCCAGGAAAACCCGCAACAACCATGGGATCGTGGCCGTGAAAGCTGTCGAGAAGACAGCGGCTGGATTATTCTGAGATCAGAGTTGTGAAGTGGTGATGGTGGAAGAACCAAAGGAAATGGCGGACGGAGGATGACCAATGCATATCAGCACCTCCTCGGAAGCTACCAAATTGGTGGGAAAACGATAACCCTGAAAGTGGGCATTCAAAGTACTGACGACATCCTAGCAATAAGGAAATACAAGTTGCTTAGCCTTTCAGGGCCTGAATTTGCCAGAAACGCTAGCTTATTGAGGTCAGTTTTGACAAAACAAACTGTCTGATTATATACCAGATAGATAAGAAAACCAAGAAAACTAAGAAATCCCATGCTACACTTCGAGCTTCTACAAGGACATTAGAATTTATGAATGTGACCCACATCTCTCAAATCTACCTTGGTAATTCCTTTTTCTACAAGAGCCACTTTTAGGACAGCAAGAGGGTGCCCGGGTGTGTGTGTAGGTGTGTGTGTCCTCATACCAGTTTTTTGTTTTGTTTTGTTTTGTGATGTCTTCCACAGAGAGCAGCCTAGCGAACCTATGGAGCAACATGCTTTTCTGTTTAAAAGAAACTAGAATAAGACTTATTCCGAAGGAAACCAACATGGTGATGGACAAATTAAGTAACTATAGACTCGCTGCAAATATCCTGTTTTTCGGCAAGCAAACAGCGGATTGGTGGTGGCTAAGCAGTTGCTGCTGGTGCTCCTGGATGAGAGGAATAGTCTAGATCCATTTCAGCCGGGGTTCAGGACCTGTCACGGAATGGAGACAGCACTGATCACGCCGCAAGGCGATCTCTTAAGGGAGGCCAATAAGGGGAGTGTAACCCTGCTGGTGCTCTTAAATCTTTGGTCCGCTTTTGATACCACCAACCATGGTATCCTTCTGGGAAAGCTACTGAGTCTAGGGATCAGGGGTTCTACTCCTCCCTAGTTCTGGTCCTTCCTTCCTCACCCGTCCCATTAAGAGAGGCACCAAAAACAACAAAGTGCTTGTCCTTCTCACGATAGGCTTGAATCATGCCAGGAAAGGCTTACTATCATGATGTAGCTAACCAGTACTATCAGCAATGGTTTCACTGAGGACTCAAGGGTATTAGCCAGTAAGGCTAGACTCAATGAGCCATACAGTTCTTCCAGCTCTGCCGTTCCAAGATTAAACCAGGAAAACAGATTAAAACAGAAATCTTTAGCCTAGCAGCCTAGGAAAATCTCTGTTTTTTAAAAATTGTGATTGCAGAGGCAAGTAGAGACTGAGAATGCCAACTCCATACAGGTTAATGGTTGACAAAGGGAAGAAACCCTCATAGTTGTGAGTAATCTAGGGACTGTCTAGATCAGTGGTGTCGAACTGTGGCCCTCCAGATGTTCTTGGACTTCAACTCCCAGAAGCCTTCACCACCCCCTCTGCTGGCCTGCTGGCCAGGATTTCTGGGAGTTGAAGGCCAAGAACATCTGGAGGGCCACAGTTCGACACCACTGGTCTAGATGGATGCACAAGTGGTATTTCTTCTATCACTGTGGCCACTCAGAAACACTTGCATACATTTTGCTTAAGATAGCTCCTTGGGAAGTGACCTTGTGTTTTTCTTACATATTCTGCCTTAGCGCAACTGCTTTCCTCAATGTTCAAAACTGACTGACATCTGAAGAACAACTGAAGAGGCCACTGCTAATTGTAGCTAACAGCTGAGGTGCCAGTCACCCACCCAACTGCATGCCCGGCAGGACGTAAATTAGCCACCATTTTGCTGTGGCCACGCCTGTCGTTCCTCTTGCATACATCTAAATATCAAACAGGATTTGGGTTAACAGGCAACGGAAGATGAGCTTCTCCTCAGATAAAATCTCACCTGCCAAGGACCTTTCTGCCTTCCCACCCACACTTGGATCACAAGGACGAAGAGACATTTCCCACTCGTCTAGAGCGGGAAAGGGGCAACGGATGGCACCCTCCGTCTCTTGGTGAAGAAGGGGCTCAGGGAAACACTTCTGAAGTTTGTTTTTCTCTTTGAATCCCCTCACTTGTGAGTCTTAATATATGGTCACTGAACCTGGCTAGACGCCTTTCCTTTGTCAGTGACCTGGCTTGATCTCTGGTTCCAAAGCAAAAACAAACAAACAAACAAACAATGCCTTTGTTCTCACTTCAAGAGCCAACTGTAGAACGTTTTCTGCTTGCAGACGAACTTTTTGGGGGGGCTAGGAAGCAAGGCTGTGTTGGAGAAACATGCCTGGGATATTGTGTAAATGACAAACACATCTGCTTTGGGGCAAGAGGAGCACAGGCAAGCTGTACGGAGCTCTCTTGCTGACAGTTCTCTTTCCGCATAAGAAAAGTGTCCCCTCGAATGGGTCAGCAGCCCTGCAGCTTAGCTGTGGGAAAAAGGTGTCTCAGCAACTCATCCACACTCCAAAGACAAAGGCAAGGGAACTCCGGCCTGTTTGTACCCTTCAAGGACACTGGAATTCATGAATGTGGCCCAGTTCTCTCAAATCTACCTTGGTAATTCCTTTTTCTACAAGAGCCACTTTTAAGACAGCAAGAGGGTGCCGGTGTGTGTGTGTCCTCACACCAGTTTTTTGTCTGTTTTGTTTTGTGAAGTCTCCCACAGAGAGCGGCCTAGCGAACCTATGGTTCAATATCGTGTGAAAGGCAAGATGGAAGTATCAGCCTCAGGTGAGAAATACTCCATTGTTTTCTCACTCAAAGATGTTCACCCACGACCGGATCCTTTTAGAGGAAGAGGCCAGAGAGGCTGCACAGGGACCTCCTGCAAACCACTTGACCACTGCAATCCTGTCTCTTCAACAGTGAAAGGACAGCCCACTTTTTCCAAGCCCCTTCTGCAGCCTGAGAACCGTATTCCGAAGATCAACAAGACAGACAAAAGGTTGACAAAAGTTATGGAACGACCAGGGAGAGTACCCTGGTTCCCTCTCCGTGTTATGTCTTCCTTGAGGAAAACTCAAGGCCACGTTCAACTACGCCTGTATAAAACTGCAAGCAAAAGAAATCAAAAGACAACACCAAACCAGACCGCAGCATTCCATTCTGAGCAGAGTTTTAAAAATCCACTCAAGGCTGTTTCGCTGGCACTGAGAGATAAAACCAAGATACAAATTCCTGGCAGGCCATGTGCCTGTTTTCCTATCTGATTATATCCAAAACCAAGGATTCCTTTTTATCTTTAGCTCTACTAAGGCCAGAGTCATAAAGGCCAGAAGAGAACAAAGCCAACCTTCATTCCCATCCAGGGCACAACCGAATGGAAACATCTCCCGGGCAAGCCCCATGGGTATAACAGGAGCTGGGCAAAATCATGGATCAGTCTGTATTCCCCGTACCTTTACTCCTATCAAACCTGTGCAGCAGATGTTCTGCTAATTCAAGTCACCCTTGAGCTCCAGATGCAGTGCTGCCAGCCATGCTGCCCAGTTTGGTTTTGTCACCAGCATTCATAATCTAGCTTAGAGAACAGAAGCAGCCACTGCTGGAGGGTCTACCTGCCTCAAATGTCGTTTCTGAAGAAAAGGCAGCCATCCACCCAATTGACAAGTAAACCACCCAGCACAAAAAAATAAAAATAAAAAAAAATGGGCATCTCCAGCCGTGTCTGCTGAAGTGTCATTAGGAATGAGAGACCCTAGCGTTCATCAAGGACTGTGTGGCCCAACCGCCGAGTCAGGGAAATGCTAAGAGCAATGTTAGACCTAGATACCCTCTCTCCCTTTTTTGCCTTTCATAACATTGTTCCAAAGCATTCTGTATCTGGGGGCCTTTAACTGAAGTCATTTATTGTAGGAACCTTTAAAAAAAAAGTCACATGCAGAACACAGAAAAGTGAATCAGGAACTACAACTCCCAAATTCCACAGCAAAAGAACTGGAGATACTTGCACAGTTGTTGTCGAAAATATAATTTTTCTGTCTTCCAGTAAAATGTGACCACCATCCTTGAGTAATAGTGATAAAGCAGAACACGAGAGCTGTCTTACCTCTTCCTCTCCCGCGTTTCCCACGATCGGAAGGCCTCTCCCCTTGGCTGTTATCCACGCCATTCTCCTCTGCTCTAACTACATAAGGGACGAGAGAGACAGAAAAATGTATATGCATCTTAGACCATCAATTTAAAAAAAAAAATAAGTTTATATACTGACTCCCTGATCAGATATATTCCAGCTGGGCATGGGCACAGCTCTTGCAAAAGCGGCAGTTGGCTCTAATGAGGGACAATAATTAGGACGCCCAGCTGCTATGCTATCTGTCGGCTCGAGCCTAGGAGCACCGAGAAACCTACACAAAAACATTTGGATGGGTATTAAACCTTCCCACCAGCTCCTACTTGGAATGCAGAATGTCCTTCCTTTCGTTTAGCTAAATATTTAAGGGTTGTGCTCTTTAAGCTGTGCTGCACTGTTTTTTACAATGTTCTCTTGCTTTAATGTGTATTCCCATGTACGCAGTATTTTCCCATTCTTGCGAGATGCTTTTAATAAGATTTAAGGAGCAGGCCTTAAGTGACCAAAATAAAATAAAACATTCCACGCCTTCCTTTTTCATATAAGAGCAATACATCCCCAATTTCTCATTTTTTTGCTTAGAGAGAAATGAAGTGTATAAAAATATATGCCAGCATTCAGTTTTCGTGGCCAAGCACATGGTATGGAAACGGGGTGAATCCTTGGGTTAAGAGAAAGCGTATCTGTGGACGGAGGGGCAACGATGGATGGCTCTTCCCCCTAGGCCCTATAGCAAATATACAACCAGGCGACCCCACCCCAAACACACTCCTCCTTTACAAACTTAAAGGCAAACTAAGGCATTCCTAGGAGGAAGGTGCCCTGTGCTTACACTCTCGACCACGGCTGCCCCCTCTTCCTCGTCTGTTGGAACTTCCCCGTCCACGGCTCACTTCTCTGTCCCCTCGCTTTTCTCTGTTCTCTTTGTTTTCTGAACTTTCCTTTCCAAGACTTTTCTTCTTTCCTCCCACCGTCTCCCACGAAGTCTATTTAGGGGGAGAAGGAAAACACAGAACAATTCAAAAAGGGATCGAAAGACTTGCCTTACAGAATAACCTGCAAACTGATTCCCCCGGATAATTCTATGGGAAAACTTTTTAGGGCCCTTTCAGGTGTGCAAGACGGATGGATCAAGTACGTAGAGAGGGCATCCATCAAGGCCACACGCCTATGGCCACGAGCCCCAACATCTTCAGAATGTAATAAATCTCTACAGCATTTTTTACAGAGAAACGACGTAATATTAAATATCTGATTTAATATGGTGCATACAGAATAGCAAGAACTGTAAACAGCAGGTTTGTTTGGGAG